AAGATGTGTCAGGCGAGTGGGGCTCGTGCTCTTGGGGTGCATGGGCTTGAAGAGACATCAGGTAGTGCATCATATGGTTCAAAGGCTCTCGAGAAATGTTGGCCTTCAGGCAAAATAGCTGCAATGTGAACAATCAAGGAGGCATCGCAAAAGGTAACAAGAACATTTGGAATGCGTTGGCTTTGATAATGTTCCTACAAGGAAGATTCGATGGATCTGCATCGGGAGACTGTACGAGGTTTGCTTCAGTCCCCGGTCTAGAGGCTGCGTTGCATGCGATGATGGAAAAAACAGTGAGTCTGTTAACTTTCAAACACAAAAATTGCGTTCAACTGTGGGGAAGTAAGGGCCAAGCTGCGATGATCAGCTGGACCCAAAAGAACTTGCTCTGCAGGGCTGCAATGGCTTCCCTTCGCCACCTTCCAAGAAGCCTCTTGTAAACAACACTGTCCATCTCAGTGACGCTCACAGCATCTAAATCTAGCAGTGCGTTGTCTGCTTTGTCATCATCAGTGACGCTTCTGCCCACAGCCTTGCAGCAAACCACAGGGGAGCTGCGTAAAACCCGCAACCTTTAAAATCTGTTAAGGCAACCTACGCAAGCAACTGCTGCTGCTTGCCGCTGCTGCACGGTAAGCACCATTTCACCAATGCAACTCTGGAAAAGCACGTTTGGAATACTTACATGGCTCATGGAAGCTCTTCGTGGGCCACTTTTGTTGTTCCCGTTCAATGAAAACACACCAAGGCAATCAACCAGGAATGGATTGCCAAAACAAGTGACGGCAGCAAATGCTTCTGGAAGAAAGTCAGGCCCTGAAGCCAGCAGAAAGATCTCAACTGCAGTCATGCTCCCCCAGCGACCACGCAAAGCCCGTGGCGGCAGCCTCCAGACTGAAGCCTTCGCCCGTTGTTCTCCATGAAGTTGACAAAATGCCTTGCGAATTTTGTCGGCTGTCCCCGGGGACCTCCAAACGTTTGTGACCTTCGCAATGTCGCTGTAGTGTCCTCCCAAACAGATCTGGGTCTACTCAAATTACTTTCAAAAAGGTTGGAAGCCGGAAACCATTCTTGCCATCGAACAAAAAAGATTTAGTCCGAAATCTGAATTGAAACAGAAAGTTTCCATGCAATTCTGTTCCCTGCCAGTCCTGATAATCGCTTCAGCTGTTTTGCAACTATGAGGTGGGTTTGGTGCAAGAAGCACCTGTATCTGAAGAACAATGTTCTGTCATCATTTTTCAAGGACTCCTGCGCCAACTTGTCACAGCCTTTTTGATCAGGGCCGTCATCACTGACCATAGCGAAAATTCTGAGAGGTTTGGTGCTCTCCGACTCCTTGTCCCGCTCAAACAGAGTAGGCACTCCCATATTCATCATCTGCAAGTTGTAAATCTCAAACAAATCTTTCGCTGTACAACCTGACGGGATGTACCGCAAGTCAGCAAAGCATGTTCGGGTACGCTCAACCAATGGCTCGTCTTCAGGCAGCCCATCATCAAGACATGTACAGTATGACGATGTTGCCATGCACGAATGCACTTTCTCACGCTGGGCTGCTGAGCTGTTTGTAGCATCCCCCCGAATGATATGAATTTCATACCCGCTGCATGGGGCAGCCAAAACGGCCTGCTGCCAGTTCTCATGCCAAGCAAACTGATCAGCAAGGATACTGCCCGCAAGCAAATGCTCCCAACCTTAAGACAGCGCAAATCTCGCTGAATGGTAAACCAGCCCAAACCCCGGATATAAGGTAACGAGGCCATTTCCAAAATGTAAAACACCAACATCTGCACAATTGGATGGGGTTTGGAACTGCTTCAACTTGAGGAAATAAAGCCTGTCACTTGAGCATGCTTTAAGACTCAGCATCCTCAAAACCTAAAAAGAACGCAATCACTCTTCTCCCATACGACTCGTCTGGTTTATTCGTTTGTTTCTTGCAGTGTCGCCTGTCTGGCTACGGCCTTCACCCTATAAACAACAAACAACAATTTTCTCCAATTTCCAACCCTTTAAAACTGAGGCAGGAGCGGGCCAAAGTGGAAACGTGAGTTGCATCACAATCAAGCATTACCAGCGTAGAGGCGCAAGAGCTGTGCCCAATGTTCCGGGCCAGAGCCAGGCGATAGCCTCCAAACGTTGTCAGTCGCCGCCCGACAGCCGACTTTTTCCTGCGCTTCGAACTGATGTACATTTGGTTCTGCTCAACCAGCTTCTGAATTTGCTTTTCAGCTTTGCGTTTCACCTTTGCGGCCTTTCCCTTCCAATATCTGACCTTGCGTTGCTGGCACCTTTTGGCATTAGCTGCAACAACTGTGGATTGCGCCTGTTGCCTGGCATATGGTCCTTGGGCAACAAGCTGATCAGCCGCTCGCATCCAGTTCGCTTGGTGCATGAAAATGAACTTGCGAAGTTGAGATGCTGTCATGTCATTCAAATCTGGAGGTAGTTGTGGCAGGTTTGCTCTGGCCTCTGGCTTCGCAACGTCATCATCAATCACCACCATCGCTGAACTCTGGGACTCAGAACCATCAGCTGGCACAAGTGCAGAATGCGATGTGTCTGCCTGTGAAGATCGCGATGCCTCTGAAACTCTTGGTGATCCCAATGGCACTCTTCGTGACGTGGAAGTAGGAGATGATTTCTCGGAGCAAAACCCCTGACTTTGACACTGGGTCAGCTGCAAGCCTCCGCGCTTGCCAAATCTTCCCACAGATTTTTGGTTCAGCGTTTGGTTCACACCTACACTGGCGGAAACAAGTTTCTGACGCAGACAAAACAAAATCTTGGTTTCAGCCTCGCGTAGCAAATCATCAGGGCAACCGGATTGCCTCCTTGAACTTGACGAAGCTTTCCCCATGGTTGAAATGCATTCAAAGATGGCTGCAACATCAACTATGGTCAAAGATAAGGCCGGCCGTTGAAATTCCAGCCTCTCCAAAGCACTATAAATGTTACGAGTCACAGTCGTCTCTCGTCTCTCCCCTTCGCTCACCCATCCCAATCGTGAAAAAACAGAAGCCAGAATCGGAACCAGCTGCTTCTCTGTCAATGTAAAAGGCCTCTTATACACCGCACCCTGCCGAACCAAGGTTTGCTCACATACTTCAAGCACGAAATTTTCGGTGAAATCATGCCATGCCACCATCAAAGCACACCGAACAGGATCCCATGGCAACACGATAAAATGGGAATGTTGCACACAGTGTCAGTCATAGCATCTGAAAAACACTCCTGGGATCTACAGCCAGAATACCTCCAATGAAAATTCAATATATGACAATCCTACAGGGATAAGCTATCTATGGGTATACTCAAACCTTTGTTTACCGCGCGTACCCTTTGTTGGTGCTTTAGACACTCAGCAAATTGTTGTTCAACTTTTCTTTGCTAAGGGCAAGTCACAGCTGCCAGGCACCAGAACAGCCATGTGGTATTGAGTCAAACAAGATCGCACCTGGCAATTTCAAAGTTCACTGGCCGAAAAACTGTTCAAAACCTGTTTGTTCTGGTAGACCTTAGCATTCTTTGTAAACATGAAGACCGCCTTTGAGTGGGATGCCAACGCCACAAGTAACCCAGTTCGGACGAAAAACTTGGCTGTGGACCAGTTCAATCGACAATTTCTGCTAAAAAAATTGAATTCAACAGCACAAAAAAACACCTGCGAGCAATGCGTGCGCCTACAAATCTCCAAGGCATTCGTGTGCATCACTTCTTTCCACATCGTTTTTGTGTTGAAATTTTGTGTCATACAAGGTTGTTTTGGCAATCAAAGCAGGAGGCTGCATGTTTGAGGTGGCCGGAAGCCTGTCCCGAAAGTCACATGTTAGCGTACCGGAAAAAAAAATAAACGCGCACATGTGCCTAGAAATGGCATTGCAAAATCGCAAAGAAACAATTGTTGCGCCTGGTCCCCGACCCAGACCCAAGAAGCATATAGGATAAAATTATTGCTGGCCACTGATATGACCGCCTCTTCCGGCAGCAAACGGCCGTCGAAACGGAAACAGTGGCGGGCCCGAAAAAAAAGACGTCTCTCCACATACCCATGTATGTATGTATGTATGTATGTATGTATGTATGTATGTATGTAATGTATGTATGTATGTATGTATGTATGTATTTAATGTATGTATGTAATGTATGTATGTAATGTATGTATGTATGTATGCATGCATGCATGTATGTATGTATGTATGCCTGTATGTATGTATATATGTAATGTATGTAATGTATGTAATGTATGTATGTATGTATGTATGCATGTATGCATGTATGCATGTATGCATGTATGCATGTATGCATGTATGCATGTATGTATGTAATGTATGTATGTATGTAATGTAATGTAATGTAATGTAATGTAATGTAATGTAATGTAATGTAATGTATGTAATGTATGTATGTAATGTATGTATGTATGTATGTATGCAATGTAATGTATGTATGTATGTATGTATGTATGTATGTATGTATGTATGTATGTATGTATGCAATGTAATGTATGTATGTATGTATGTATGCATGCATGCATGCATGTATGGATGTATGTATGTATGTATGTATGTATGTATGTATGTATGTATGTATGTAATGTATGTAATGTATGCAATGTATGTAATGTATGTATGTATGCATGCATGCATGCATGCATGCATGCATGCATGCATGCATGGATGGATGGATGGATGGATGTATGTATGTATGTATGTATGTATGTATGTATCTGTGTGTGTGTGAATGTATTATGTATTTATACACGCCATGTACCCATTTTGTTTTGAGGATTGGATATTTTGAGTCCTTAAATCCGTGTCGCGGCTGGCCATTTTGACAGCACCAGCCACTTCGACAAGTGTGCCACTGGCCGAAGATGTGAGATTAAAGTCTATTTCTATTTATGGCATATAGTTGTATAGTATACGTATATATATATATACATACATACTAAAAACATGCTATTTATACCGACTCCGGTGACACTGGTATGTGAGGAAGTCCAGCCAAAGATGGAGTCGCAACTTTCTGGAAGACCACACCATTGGAAGAAGGGCTGCGTCGGGCCATTTTCCTGGAGTTCCTCGGCTGCCCATGAGTGCCCCAAAATCCCGTAGCTGATGACTTGATGATCCTCCATGTTCGGACAGACCCTGGCATCTTGTGCGGGTCAGTGCAGGTTGGGTTGTTGTATGACAGGTCGGTCAAGGTCAGGCATTTCTGGAAGAGACCCGCCTGAATTCGCATGTCAGGTTCCTGACATGGGGATTCAACATCCCCAGTTTGGTGTAGGAGACCCTGCAATATTAGACCGTTAATCAGCATTTTCTCGTGGTTGTTGGTGGTTTATAGCCCTCAATAGGCCATGATAAACGCCTCCAAGGTATGGCAATCAACGCACCAAAGCAGCGCAAGTGGCGATCTTGCAGCGCTTATGGCCGCGGGACCGAAGTTCTGGCAAGGTGTGGCCGTGGGGTTGTGGAATCGCAGGCCCGAAGGGACCTCAAGGAAGCATAACCATGTAAGCAAATCATGAGTCACAGTGCACTTAACAATGATATGTCATCGACATTCATTAACAATGGTACGGAATATACTTAAAGTACGAATTCATGGTACAATGAGTAAAAACATATTGTACAATAATACATATGTATATATATATAATCACTAGCATAGCCACTGCAGTAAATTGGCAATAATTCCCATGATTTTGCAATGTCTATATACATGCGTCACCATGGTTACAAACACGTATATATATACATATATATATATCATATTCATTCATATGTATGTTTCAAATGTTTAAGTGGCACAGCCATCCTGCTACTGCCATTATAGTGTTAATGTTTGTTCAAACATCATTAGATATCTTTAGTTAGCATCATTTGGTGTTGGTTTTAACACATTCATGCTAAGCCCGTGTATATATATATATATATAAATGAAACGGACCAGCTCCAACTGTCCATGTGAGTAAATCACATGAGTAAATTTTACTTGTTTTCCTTTTTGAATCATCAGTGTCCGTAAAATCAACAAACTTGACGGTTAAAAAATCATTGCTGACACAAGTAGTGTCTAGCATTTTGCGCTACCCAAAAATTCAGTTATCACCATTTGTTGATGGTACATGATGGTACAAACAGCCTGAAACTCCATTGTTTCCATACTAAATCTCCATGTTTGATGGTTAAAATCATATGTTTTTCCCTGCCTTCAGTTCTCCTTCAAAGGGCCTGGTGGTTTGTGCCGTGCATCTCCGAGCATCCGCCGATGAAGCGTTTCGCAGCTTGATTTAACCATCAAACATATGGGGATACAAGGGGGAGTATTATGACATACTATGACCCATGATGATTTGGTGAGGTGGTTTCAAAGATGTTGTATTCTTTGAAACATGTTCCGGATGATGATGCCTTGGCTTTGACTACTTTCAAACTTAATAAACATGATATAAATTTACAATTTACATAGTTTCTCATGACCAGGTTTCCAGAGCTTCCAGGTATAGTTTCTCTTGGGCTGAAGGATTTTTTGCCACTGACGGCGCCGGTCCTTGGTCAGTCTGGTCCGCTAAGGAATGCAGCAAGCATCCGAACTGGTCACTGCCTTGACTGACTTTGCACGGGGCGACGAGCAAATCATCCTGGCGGATGTGAGCCATGCCATGAGTGTCATGAATCCCAGGTTAATTTGTTTGGTTTGGAAAAGAGAATGCTTCAATCCAATGTGGGGATCTATAAGCAACCAGTGCGGGGATGAACGAATTCTTGGGCACTGTTCATTGAGTCTTGTTTGACTTTCTCTTGTGAGTTTTGCGCGCTTCCGTGGCGAAGGCATTCCATACTCATCATCCTGTAGCTATGGACCTACTTTGGGCATGTTTTGGCATTTCTTGGCGCAGGAAATGCAGCAAATGGATCAAATGGCAGCTAAACGAGGGCAGTGTTGCCAGGAAACATGCACCAGTTTTTTGTTTGGCTGCCAGCCAGCTGCCAGCTGCCAGCCACCATGGTTTGGTCTCACCATTGGCCTCTGAGGAACAGCAACTTTGATCAATCATCCAGTGATCTGGCTGCCAGCAACTTGGTTTACTGCTGCCACAATCCTGAAAGTCCTGGCAGCAGTGCGGGCCCTGTCGCCTGATGTCCTGGAGATCCCAACCAACAATTTGGCAAAAGGGGAAAAAATGATAGAAATGTCACAGGCAGTTGTAATCAGTTGTGTACAATTGGATGGATAGATTTACAGAATTAGATGGATTGAAGGAAAGATGGAGAATTATCAGTTATGTAACGAGAGGTCTCATTCACTTTATGGGAGCAGGAGCGGCCAGGCCCCATTAGGAGGATTGCAAGATGAGGAGCCAGTGTTACCTCCGCCTATCCCAACGCGTGGTTCTCGGCTGTTTGAAGAGGGACTGCATGGACACAAATAATACATGAGGCGGTGGAATCACAAATGGATATACTGATATACCGTAGTTCTTGTTGCAACCCATTCCGTGGCCACTATCAAGACTCACACTCCTGAGACTTCGAAGATCTTCGAAGCAATTCCAAATGATCGCCAATGATCCTTGGGTCGTTTGCCAAGCTTCGCGCTTCGCCTGCTACAGGCAATGTCTACTCTTACTTCACATCTTGCGGATATCGCTGCGCCTACCAGACCATGGCTGCCAAGGCGGCAGCGCAACGGTACAGTCACTACACCACTTGGGCCGGTTGGGCCTCTGGTGATTTCATGTCATGTTGCGATCATATCTTCATCTCCCAAGGTGTCGATGTGGAGGCAGTTGCTTGTATTTGCTTGTCATGTCAAGGCATGATGTGTTGCGAAGGGATGATGGCTCGATTTTTTTCTTTGTTCTAAGGCTGCTAAGTCTTTACATGCAGCTATAGAAGTTCAGTGTGATCGATCCTCTATTTGTGCCAACATACTACTAAGTGTTGATGTCTTTTCTGCAAAATATGTGGCATCTCTTCAACCAATTTAAACAATGAGAGCTTGCATAATGTATAATGTTGTATCCATTCACACTTGTCACTTCCCCAATTGTTGGGCCACCCAATTAGTGCATCTAAGGTTTTGGATGTTCCAGATCCAGATGCACTAGCGGAGGAGTTTCCGGAGAAGTTGCCGTGTGCAGCATATCCTTCGGATCATTTGAGTTTGGTGGCAGATGTCCTTGTCCCGTAACTTCTGCAATCCTTGATGCCAACCTGTGCGGAAAAGATGTCAGCCTCGCAGACATGGAAGGGATAGCCGGGATTGCTCCGCAAGAGAGGCAGCTGAAAGCTGGTGCCTTCCAAATGGTTTCAACAAAAAGAGGTGGTACAGTGGTGATCTCGTTGGGTGATGTTGGTCAAGCTGATCCGGTGATCTTTTCATCCGATGACCTCCGGAACATTTTGAGATACACGAATCCAAACTTGTCTTTGGTAGAGCATTTTACGATCACATAGAAATTGCATTTCTTTGAGGTTCCATGTTTGATTTCTTGATTTCAGGGTTTGACAATCACGCTGTGGACTGTGGAAATGATCGCCCACTTGTTCCAGAATCACCCAGTGGGGGCATTTTCGGGTCCATTTATATTTCAAAATTGGCCAGCTGGGTCCGTGAGTTTTGAAGCTTTGATGGCTGACTCCTAAAGCTGAGATAAATCTCTGGTTCCCAAGATCTTCAAGTTTGAACCCTTACGCGAGTGATGGTTTCAGTTGTGATTTCTTCTCGTTACCAATACCTACCAGCTGGTAAACAAAAGGAAACAAGCTCCCTAGATGGTATGTGTTTATTTATTAAATTTATTCATTTATATTTATATGTATTGTGAATAAAATGAGTTATAAGTTACAGTTTCACCATATCCCTGCATTTTTTCGTGCCCAAATCAGCCTTAAAAGTGCTAGGTCCTATGGCCTGGTGGGTCCACGCATTCTGTTCTGGACTTGCTTCGCCGAAGCCCAGTCGCTAGCACCCAACAAGTGTAAAAACCTGGGTTGGCATACTAACATTTACCAAGATTTACCACTATCCTATTGGAATAAGTGTAATATTCCAATAGATCGTGGTAAATCTGGGTCCTATTGGAAAATGAATTCCCAACAAAGATTTAACTAATATGATAAAACGTAAAATACTGGACAAGAGACCTGGGTTGAGAGGGCATTGGTCAATATTGGTCCCACTGGAAAATGCTTTGCTTCAGGTTATCGTCGATCGTGAATTTGCTGGCGTAATGGACGATGTTTCCATTGGAAATTGCCGGTTTGGAGTTCCATTTCTTTTCGGAGGTCACAAGTGGGTTTAACTTTGAAAATAGCTGGTGACCGTGGCTATTTCAGTTGTTGATGAGATCTGATGATCAGCCCGATGGGGACGCTTCCAAACACGTACTGACCGGATTCATGAATATAGCTAGTTAGCTGGCTTAGTCACATGGTGCGAAACAGTGTGATCATATATATAAATATAAATATATATATATATACATATAAGAAGTGTTGCTTGAAAAGGCCACAGGATGCCATCAGGGAAGTGTTTATTTTTCCTGGTGGCCTTGATTTTTTTTCCTTTTTCCCGAATGCGTATTGAAAGGATCTTGTGTTCTTGGTAGGAGGTCTGGGGGTGGAGCTCTGTTTGCGGCTCGTTGCGTCTTTGCCGCGTTTAAGTGCGTCTTGCCCTGCCTATAGGAGTTACTACAAAACGTCGCAGGCGTGGGATTTCGTGGCAATCAGGACAAGAGTGTGAAGTGTGGAGTGTGGAGTGTACGGTGTGAAGTGTGGACACTGATGAGGAGTGTGAGGTGTGGAGTGGAGAGTGAAGTACTTTGTTGTAGTGCAAAAGTAGTACTTGGAAGATCTTGGAAGTACTTTGTCGAAGGCATGTAGTACATTACAAAAGTAGTTCTGGGAAGTACTTTGTGCAAGCCTTGTAGTACAAAGTAGTACTGGGAAGTACTTTGTGCAATCCTTGTAGTCCAAAGTGGTGCTGGGAGGCGCTTTTATAGTACAAAGTAGTACTGGGAAGTACTTTGTGCAAAGCGTGTAGTACAAAGTAGTACTGGGAAGTACTTTGTGCAATGCTTTGTAGTGCAAAGTAGTACTGGGAAGAACTTTGTGCAAGCTTTGTGGTACGAAGTAGCTTTCAAGCCTGCTTTAGACTCCTTTCAGATTTGTTTCAAGTCATGTCAGAGCCATATCAGCGTCATTTCACACTCATTTCAAACTGGGAAGTGTTTTGTGCAGATTTTGTAGTACAAAGTAGTAGGTTTTCCCTGGGTCCTGAGGTATTGCAAGCCGTGCGGCATGCAGGAAAGGCCTTGCAAGGGCCTTGCAGCATGCTTCTGACGAGTTTCTCAGTTGCATACCAGATTTTTCTTGGGTTCTTTCTGGCACTGGTAAGATTTGGGACTGAACATTCTCCACAGAGATTTTTAGGAGTGGATCCCGGTAATCGATTCGTTTATGATTCTGATTGCTTTCAAACCGTCCTGAACCTCACATTGCGATGAGTCAGGAAGACCTTTGGGTCCACTCTTGGCACAGCCCCCAGTCAAAGTCCAAAATGCAACATCAATGCATTGCAATTTGAATCATCGATTGAGATTTAGGTATGAGGCAATCAGTTCCGACCCGCAGTACACCTGTGGCTCACCGCATCTCACCACTTAACAGCCCATGAGTTAGGGGAAGTTTTCCATGATTCGTTTGTTATTCGTATCCAGCGTATATGATTTTTACATCAATATACATCAATTACAGTACATCCCATGTTTCATCTTTTCCCGGTTTTTCAGCCATTTCATGCTCATCATTTCCATGACAGGTGAGACACGAGCATCGCATGAAAAGAAAAGCCGGCCCGACAGGTGTCGCTGGGCTATGGACGTGACGTTGGAGGCGATACATGACAATGTGGAGGCTTGGCAGTATGCCTTGCCACCAGCGGGAATTACGACAGCAGCCGAGCTTTCGTTCCCTACTAGTCTGTGTGATAAAGAAAGAGAACACGAGTGGAATTGTCCCCAATGACCAATATTTTTGGAGGGGCTCGAAGTCAACCAGTTGAGGTGATCATCGCGACGTGTTGATGGAAGTTTTACACATGGATGGACATTTGCTGCAGCAAATGAACGAGACCCGGCCCACGTTAGATCCTGCGTGTGCAGTCTTGTTGAAGGTGGCAGTTGTAGCCAAATGGCCAAACATGCCAGATGTCAATAGAGAAAAGAGAGGATTAAATGGGACACTTTTATAGGAACATATATGATTTTTGGATGTTTGATGCACCATGACATTTTGGCATGCTCCTTTCACAGGTGAAGTGTCAGGAAACCTCTTGAAATTTTGGCTCTAACCAGGCGCTGTTGCGCCCTGCCGAAAACCCCCATGGTGCGAGCGCGACGCGGGAGCCTGTGCATTTGCCTTTCCACCTTCGGGGTTCAACTGCTGAGTTTCAGCTGGGCATTTTGTGGCACATGGTATCCCCATTTTCTTCCCGCTTCCCAGTGCCCTGTGCAATGCACTGGGCGGCGCTGGCGGTCTCTGCTAAGAGTGAAGATAGGAGATGAGTTGAACGGATTTCAGCTCGACGAACCCTTGGGAGCAGGTGCATTTGGGACGACCTGGCGCGCCAGAGCTACAAATCAAAGCGATTTGAAGACTCTAAATCTGGCAGAAGGCCGCCTGTGTAGCAGGAAGTTCTCCAGATGTGATGGGGTTGGGGCCACTCCTTGCCATATCAAAGTGACCATTAATGTCAACGTAGGATTAACCAACCGCCCCCCCCCCCACAAGGTATGTATATACCTTGTATTTTCTTTCCTGTATCCCCCCCTAAATAGACGGACCCCGAACCATAAAATTTTGGATATGATTAGATTTGATAGTTGATACCTCATGGAACCCATCAGATTCCATTGGATTTGAAAAGATTTGTCTGAGATTGATTGAGATTGATGAAACATGATGAGAAACAAAAATAATTGGAAATAAAAAAATGGATTAAAACAATGGGTTTCAGCACAGGTGGTTGATTAATCATCCCAGGCCAAACGGTTTATTAATCGAGGGGGACCACCTGTTTCTAAATTACAAAAAAAAATTGGGCAGTGGCGGTTGATTAATCGGGAGGGATTAATTAATCCTACCTTGACATTAGTCACTATAATTCATATACTATAATAGCAATCCGAATATACCCAAAAATGAGAATCTATGGGGCAGATGAGCTGACAAAAAAAAACTGGAAATCTCACCAAGGTTGACTGACTTTGAATTTGTTCGTGTGTGTTCAATGATTCAGGGAAGGTGGCCTCGAACTGACTCATTGGCTTGGGACTGTCAAATTCAACCAGTGTAGGTCTTGCATGGTTGATATTACTTGAAGAAGCCCTTGATTGTGGGGCTTCCCTGTTTGAGCAAACCAGGTTGTTGGCTGTATTCCCATGTGCTGGCTCCTTCGCAATCGCCACCAGTACTCAGTAGTACCAATCTCCTAGCCTCCCAGTGATTTATGTTTGGCCGTGGCTGTGTCTACTCAACATTGTTCCAATATGTTTATCAGATGCAATTTTTGTGGGTGAAACGGTGCACCCCAGCTGTGGATGGTTCTGCACCCCTTTGGACGTTTAACGCGCGCCCATGAGGTCAAGAAGTGGCTTTGAAGTTGATCAAACTTCAGGCAAGTGGAGGGTTTTGCGGTGAGCTGCAGACCTTCATGAGGCAATATGTTGTGTCCAATGATGTGAATGTCTTTGCCACGGCTCATCCCCCAAACTCAATCAATCTTATCTGTACCATTTGGGTTTACCATAAAGTGTTAAACAATGTTAAAGAGATGTCCAAAGAATCATCTCCAACCATCCACCGCACAAACGATCATCCAGATAGATTAAATTCATCTTCATCATCATCATCATCATCATCATCATTCTCATCTTCATCATTATCATCATCATCAACATCGTCATCATCATCGTCGTCGTCATCATCATCACCACCACCATCATCATCATCATCAGCATCATCATCACCATCACCGTCATCGTCATCATCATCATCATCATCATCATCATCCTCATCATCCTCATCATCATCATCATCATATTTTATCATATATATATATATATCAACATTATTCAAAATTATCACACATCAAAACCTAAAACCAAAATCACCTCAAAAATCTGAAGCAAAAATAAACAAAAGACATCTCCAGGACGGTTGGAGCACCTTAGACAAGTTCGAGCGTGAAGCCTCGGTGCTGCAGCGGCTCCGGCACGTGGCCATCCCGCGCTACTACGGCACGGTGCAGCGCGAGGGCCGCGACGGCTTGGACCTGGGACTGGTGTCGCAGCTGGTGGAAGGTGCTACCTTGGAAGAGGAGGTGACCAAAGGTGCCTGGGACTTGGTTTTTGTGAATTTTGTTTTGGAATATGGGGAAATATCATGAAGTATCCACGAATATTTTGGCATATGGGGAAATACCCACCAGGGCTAAGAAAAAATATTATTGAAAATCCAAATCCAGGCATTTTTGGGATTTTTTTAAGGGTTTCCTTGAGGATTTGGCGCATTTTCCCGGGGAATCCAAGATTTTAAGGGAAAATTCTAGGGAAGGTGATGGAATATGGTACAATATTGTTTGTTGAAGGTGATTGTTTCCGAAAAATGGGAAATCTACCAGGAGGAATCAACAAACAGGGTGCTGGAGGGCAGTAAAATCCGGGTGAAAATGATGAAACTAGCTGGTATACCCTCAATTTATGGCATTTGTTTGTGAAAGGGAACCGGGGAACCAACTAATTTATTTTAGGGCACAGTGCCCGATGCAGAAAACATGTGGGAAACTTGATGCGTGCTATTATTATTGTTATATATGATGACCTAGTTTGCCACTCCATAAAGGGATCTTTTATGTGCATAGATGCAACATTTTTTTTTGTACGTTTGGAAGATTATCATGTTCACAAACGATGTTCTAAGTGTAGGGTTTCTCCAGGATGTTCTAAGTGGTTCTTCCCGACTAGACACTTAGCACCTACCTTCAGGTTTGGATTTTGCGCTTTCCAAATGATGTTCTAAGTGCATGTTTGTCAGCCGGTTTTGTTCCAGATGCTGTTGACAGTTTTTTGTTTTGTTGTTGCCGATCAGGGTGAAAAAGCTCAAAATTGTTCAATACGTATATTGCAGATCATGTTCAAAGAAGTTGTTCAGATGTCGAACTTGTGTATCTATATCCTTGCTGATTTTTGCCACAGTCAGAGTTTACTTTCTGTTCTTGTAGCTGCCCGTACCTTTTTATGCCAAGGTCGATGGGTAGCAACTCCAGAGAATCTCAGAGCACTTGCTGAGACCCTGCTGGAAGTTTGTATGCACATGGCCCCTTGGATTCCCTTGGCCTAAAAGATGTTGAAGTTCACCAGCAAAGCTATCGATGACTTTGAGATTTGGAGGCCGCTGATTTGGAATGAAAGAATTATGGAATGAAAGATCCTTTTCCTCACACTTGATCTAGCTTAGAGGACCCCCTGAGTGATTCATTGGCCATTGCCCAAGCTGTACCGTACGTGGTGGTACCTTATAAAATGGGATGTGCAGTATAGATATGCTGCATTATTCGGAGGAAGTTCCAGCAGGCTGACACATTTGCTTGTGGCTCAAATTCATGCATGTTTAGTTGGGTTGGTTTCAAAGCTGGACAGGGGGAGGCTCTCAAAGTAGGGAGGGATGCTCAGATGACACCATGGTGACCGGTGGTTGAATGGTTATTGAAGTTGTACGTTGTTTATCGTTGTTTGGTATAACAATGTCTCTGCGTTTATCTCTTTAAACGTGCACCCGGTTTACAACATCATACAACACGATTACGATGCTCCCAGGCCAGTTTTGCTCCTCCTGTGGTGCATCGCGACATCAAACCTGCCAACATTCTGCTTGAGTTTGACAACAGTTCACAGAGGCCAGGGGGTCATGGGATCTTCTGATGCTGACAGTTTTGACTTTTGGAAGTGCATCTGTAAATTTTGGACAGGGTTGACAACACAGGATGGTCGTTTTTAATAGTTTTTCACGTTTTCTTCAAAGTGACTGTCCTTGCGCCTGGAAAAAGTGGCTATCTCAATATCTACTCCTGTTCTTCCTGGGATCCTTGGGGCGGGGCCATGCCCTGCAGGCAGTGGGCTTTTGTCCACAGAAACCTTCACGAAAGATTTAAGTCTTTATGAGAGGGTTGATTGAACACCATCACGCTTGATGAAGATCCAGAGGTTTATGAAACTCCATCACACTTGCCTAAGATAAATATACATGTATAATTTGTATATAAACAATTATACATATAATATATGTATATATAATTATTTATATATATACACAAGGTCTAATCTAACCATAATTAGCCATATTTTTCTTTCCCGTGTGGCTTGAGCTTCGCCCATGTGGCTTTCCCACATCACCTCGCAGCTCCCGGCGAGGACCGAGCCCAAGATCTACCTGGTGGATTTCGGCTCCGCGGTGCTGGGCTCGGGAACTCGGACGGCCGCCGGAACCTTTGGCTACATGGCACCGGAGTCTTTCGGCAACAGCTTCACACCCAAGTCCGACCTGCACCCTGGATGTGTGGCATAGTGTGGCATGTGTTTTCGGAGCATGGTGGTTTTTCGGAGTCGACAAACTGTTGCGTTTTTGACAGTTTCGGTGGACCCCAACAGTTGGATCTTGGATTCTTGGGTCGATATGTGTCTCTTCATCGCGTTCCTCAAGAAATAGTCTGGTAATCATCCCAACTTCCAACTATAGTTGAACAATGTTGAACATGGAAATGAGTAATATGACTATGAACTTCAATGACCAACCAGAGCAGGTGGCGGGCCCAAAGGCTATGCCTAGACCCTCCAAGTTCCCATCAAAATTGCACCTTATCCTCTAATTGTAGGTATTTTTACATACTTTCACCATTGTTTTTGCCGTATTTGGAGGGTCTAGGTCCGAGTCTAGGTGGTGCCAACCATGGCACTGTCGCCATGTCGCCGCTCCTAGGTACGGCGTTGGTGCTTCGTTGCTCTTTGCCGCGACAGGGCTGGAGCCTGGATCGTTGCCTGTGGATCGACTCCAGGTGACGAATTCAGGGGATGTCACCATGGATTTTTCCATGGGGTAGATGAATGTAGATGACTGGTAATTTAACAGTTTGCTATTGAACATGGCCATTGAAATAGTGAGTTTTCCCATTAAAAATGGTGATTTTCCATAGTTATGTTAGTTTAGCAGAGGGTAGATGACTGGTTGGTGCTTTAGAACATGAATTTTATTTTTCCTATTTTTCCATAGATTGGGAATGTAGATGAATGTACCCTCTGGTAACATAACTATGGAAAGATCCACCATGCTATAAACGTTGGTAAATCAACTATTTCGACCGGGCCATTTTCAAGTTTGCAAACTGTTTGTTTACCAGAGGGTAGATGATAGATGGGTAAATCAACTAGTAAATTGGGAAAATCAACTGTCAATGATGTTAATGCAACACTTTGCCGTGGAAAATGCCGTGTTCAATGTTGTTTACCTTTTCCAGAAGGTAGACCCATGGAGAGTTGTCCATGGCAAACTGTTCAATAGCCGGAGGCTATAACCAATGATGATGGAATGTGATGGAGGGTTGTCTAAGAAGGGGTGGGATGATGTGGCTGCAGTTGCCTGACCATGTTCATATCTATGAAATTGCATGATGATCTAGATGACTAACATGTTTGCGATAGCTTGAAACTGCCAGAAAATACCAGACGTGATGCTTGATTATGCTTGATATAGCTAAGAACATTGCAGATATTGATGAGGCCGCTGGCTTGTCACAGTTGTTTGATTCCTCTTACATATGTTGCATCCACATGGGCAATCCATGGCAATCCCGACTCATCTGGAGAGATTGTTTCTGCATTCTGCATTTAGGTCAAGTTAAGAACCATTGTAATGGCAAATCTTCCAAACATATCCAAACATATGGAATATGTACAGTAGTATCTACTTCATCCACATCACCCAAATCATGGCCATACCATTTGCATCATCTGACGAGCTTGCTCAAGTCTCAGTCTCATATCCGTTTGCGGATTGTTGATGCAAACCCCTGATCCCTTAAAACCTAGCCTGTTTCTTTGGGAAAATACCATTGAAGTAGCAAATTATATCATATAATTATATCAAATTATCATGATTTGGAAGAACCCCCAATCAATAGACCAGGGCTAATTGATCTGGGGCTGACATAAAGCGACTTGATCTCAAAATCAAATTGATGCAACTTGACATTGCTCACTTGTCATCAACTCGATCTCCACTCCACCCCCTGCAGGTGAAATTTGAGAAAGCCTTGGTGGGCACTGTGTGGGCATCTCGGTCTCGATCTGTGGGAAATTCTTCGGTGCATCCCAAAGAAGCTTAGTGGGATTAATGGCGCCATAGAGGGTCTTGGAGTCTTGTATGTTTTTTTCATTTTTTGGTGTGGTGTTTTTTTTTCGAAACTGTACTTTCCCATTTTTCCAACATTTGCAAGCTCTCTGGGGTTTGATCTCGTTGATTTGCATGTTGAACCAAGTTTCATCGGCTAGCCATATCCAAATTCGAGCTGTTTCTAAAGTCCCAGAATGGGTTGTAGGGTCCATGTTAGATGAGTAAAGCAAGAATGAAAGCTGTCAGGCTCTATGTTCTGTCAGTTGTCTATGTTGTACATTCCATCCCCCAGGGCCTATGTTTCTTTCCCTAGAAACTACAGTTAGGGTCGATGCGTCTTGAAGATAGTGTATATTTGGGCTAAAGACCACGGATTCCCGAGAAGTTCGCTGAAATCAATCCATTGGTATAGATACTGCTTTTTGTTTTTGCCCCCCTGGCCTTCTGAACAATAAGGAGAGACAGGACAGACCCGCGTCGTGCAGATTTGCTTCCTGGGAAAAGTATACCTGCGACCTTGTGTCACCGAAAAGAATGTTAGACACCCCTCACAGTACTCAATCTGAAGACGGTTTCTACTCTTGTGTTTGGGTTGTTTCCACTACTCATTTCTTTATCCTCGGCACTTGTCACACCAGCACAAAAGCTAAGAAGGGAAGCAAGGCAAGTACTGGAAGAAGTTTCACTTGTTACATTGGACTTGTTTGGATTTGTTCACCTAATTATTCCACCACTGTCTAAAAAATAAGGTGTTCGTAAACGTCACAACTTTCATGGCAGATGGTGCCAGGAAATTTGGAGGCAAATCCTCAAGCGGTTTGTAGAACCATAGTTGCTCACCCTTGTTCCTGATTGAAGTTGGTGCAGCCCTATTTCCCATACAAGTCTGGCATAGCCTGGCTTTCAAAATCACAAGCAACATGGGATACAACTGATACAACCAGCAGAGAACCAAACATATTCCATACTTTATAAATCTCTCTCTCTCTATATATATATAGTTATATATATATTAGATAAAATTAGATAAACATAGACTATAGTCAGTGACTACACCTCAATTTCTCCAACTAGATCATCCGTTAGTTTAAATATGATATACCTAGGTCTTATTTCTATGCCACATGATCCACATGTAGATCGCTCCCAGGAGACCTGGTTGCCCCAGCTGTTGCAACGGCTCTTGGCGCCTGCGCCCGAAGATCGCTTCAGCTCTGCCTCCGAAGCCCTGACCTTCCTGCGGTCTCCGCCGCCGCTGGCCACGCGGGATCCAGCATCCAATGGGGCGGTGCTGCCGCGGGAGGTGGGGACTTTGGGCATGGGGGGGAATGGGGTGGTTACTAGCCTCTGGTAATTTAACATAGCTATGGAGAATGGCACATTTGTAGTTTACATCCCCCCAATCTGCATCAACGCCATGAAACTTTGAATTGTATTTTTTTGTCGTTGCATTTGGTGCGCTATTCCGGATTTGTTCCAAACCCTGAGATTTTCTGCCAAGAGCGGTGCCCTTTAGGCCGTGAGTATGGAGCCACCACGTGGATCGAAGATTGTTGTGAAGGAGGGCCCTGGCGAGTTACGCATCCTCTTCCCTCCGCCATCGTTGTCACTGGAGCCGCTTGGGCTGTTCTGCACCACCGAGTGTTCCTTCTAGTATCTAATAGATGGATGGCTGTACCCACTGGTAATGTAACAGAGGGAAAGTCATCCGGCCAAATGGGTCATGTTCCAAAGCTACATTAAATTTCCGGGATGGTTTGAAGGCGATGGAGAGAGAGGTTATGTGTGTATGTTCATTAAGTGACATGACTTCAAGAGTTAAGAATCCAACAACACAGAGAATATAGAGTTTCATTTAAAAAACAAATAAAAACAGAAGAAACAGAAAAACCAACAAACTAGAAAGCCAACAACAAGAATAAAACAAAATAAAAACAACAAACAAACTTGAGGAAAATCCAGGTTTTGATTATTGTGGTTGTTTTCCCTAGTTTCTTTTCTTGCTCTTTTGTTTTTCTGGTGATTCTTCCTGTCAAGTTGTTCTTTTGGTGATTATGTTTTTGATTGTGTGTATTTTTTGTTTGCTAAAATCATCTTTCTTTGTTCTAGCCGGCCTCTGAATTCAAGAGGCTTAGGGTAGTCAATTTTGACCACGGATGGTCGAGATGCCACCCAGGTTTTTTGGGCAGGTGGGCTGGGCCCTGCCCAGTGACCAAAAGTGACATACTGACATCATATTCTCATAGTATGAATTCTATATATACATTTATAGTGTTATCATATGATATAGTCTATAAAGTCATATATATGTTTAAAAATGTCAACTACAGTGATGTCTTTAGGTTTTAGATGGGTCGTGAACACCGCTTCCTCGGGGACCGACATCCATTCGTAGCTTCAGGATGGGTACCTTCGCCACAGCATGGACGGTCTTCACTGGAGTGTGGACGGCTGGGGTGGTCAGTGCTGGTGCACCGATCATGGCACTCTTCAGTGTCTTGCCCTGACATGAATTGAGATTGATTTTCTGTTGGAGAGCTTGATGATGGCTAAATGTGGGTAATAAATCTCAATGAAGATACCATAATTAGATGATTGATCATTAGCCATAATTAGATGATTGATCTAAATGTGGGCTTCCAAAAATGGCTAATTATCTGATACTATGGCATCGTTTCCAGTGATTTGTTACCCCAGATTGGCCATGGTATTGGTCAAGCGAACCCCCTACAGTTGAGGAAATAAAGGCAGGAAACCCTAGCAGTTGGAATCTGGAATGTGAAAATGTTAGGGTCCTTCAAGCCTTCCAAGTTGTTTCCTTTGATGCAAGCCCGTGAAAGCATCTCCCCGCCGCGGAGGCCTTCCATTCTGGAATGTTGGATTCACCATGTTGAAAGACACCTTTCAACCTTTGATCCGTGGAGCTTTGGAGTTGCGCATCGAACGAGATCGATGGACCATCAGCACCTGGCGATGGTTTATGTCAGTTTGCCTAGTGGATGTTATGATGTTAAGCTTGACCAGGTTTTTCCACGAGCCCAAGGAGAGGGGTCAAATGGCCATGGTGCCGTAGGTGGTTTTGAGACGTTTTGTGGTGTGTTGTGCTATGACCATTGCTGGTATCAGTGCGCGCTTTAGATCTGAAACCTTGCGACTATAGTTGATATTATCAATCAACTTGATATAGTTGGGACATGTTGGGAAGACAAGATGGTTGCATAGAGTTTTTTGGCTAACAATGTTTATTGCCTTCGCACTTGCCAATCCCCGATTTTCCCTACCATCCTTGAGGATTCTGCCATCCCAGCTGAGGTAAAGCGAACGGAAAACAGCTGGACAGCGGAAAGACTGCAAAGCTTCAGTGCTTTCTGGAAGGCCCTGAGATGGGTCAAAGTTATTTAGTGCTGCAGGAAGGGATCGAACGTCCTTTGAAACAAGGAGGCCTCACCCAGACAGAGGCCGAATGTTTGGAAGCTCTGATTTCCAGCTACACCGGCCGAAAGTGATAGGGGTGGCTGAGCTTCGGCCGTCCTGTAGTTTCGAGTTTCAATTGGGGGACCAGAGAACTATATATATATATATATAGCCCATAGTTCAGTGAAGAATCAAATAAAATCAGAGATCAACTCCGGATAAACTCCGGATACGCTTTTGGCTTCAACAAGAAGTTTTGTTCTGGCCCGACTTTGCCAACACCATCAGTGAGTTGATGACATATTTAAGATGACAAGCTGTCCAGCGGCATCCAGCGGCTAGCGGTGCAGTTCAAATGGCGCTGGCAGACTCTGCACCCCCCTCGAGGATTGTCATTGGGTCGAGGATACAACAAAAGCATACAAAAACCAATCAATTAAACTCCTTTGATTAAAATGGCAATGTCGGAGTATGTACTAGAACCCCTTGACACAGGTCATCATTTGATACCTTCTTTGGCCAATTCAGGCCCAAAAAAGTCTAGATATTTCCAGTGCAGCAAAAAAAATCTGTAGACACCTGTGGAAGATTGCTTAGTCCGGAGTTGAAGTGGACTTCTGTTTAGGTGGCCTTGCTCTTGGGGATTGGCATGGGGGGGTCTGGCGGCAAAGAACACGTTCATTTTTTCTGATTTTTTGTTTTTGAATTTTGATTAGGTTTCTAAAGAAAGGCTAGGGACATGCCGACGGCAGTGCAGCACGTCAGTTCATGCCTAAGGGGCATACCCCGATCCAAGGGAGTAGTGCAAAGTAGCTACTGTAGATAGTGTGTAGGTGGGTGGCCTGGTAGCAATGGCCACCCCTTCATGTAACAAAGCAGTGAGCCCGATGACATGGGTAGCCATCTTTTATAGTTCATTTTAGCATAGCTTAGTTTTTCTGTAGGTTTCTAAGGTTTTTCTGAGTGAGGCTATACGTGGTGATTTGCACGAAGAAGCCAAGTTTGGGATGGAACCCACTAACCAGGAGACTTATGCTTGAATTTACCCTTGCACGCTGGAAGCCACACCCACCAATTTAATACTAGGACCATGCAATCATTTATTTGGAAAGGGAGGTGCCAATGAATTATCTATAAATAGATTGTAATAGATCGAACTAGTGACAACTCCCCAGCAAAGATCCAAGTTGATCCAAGAAACGTTATTCTGGATGTTCACCAGCAACATACAGAACGCAAAGAGACGGCCCAGGGCCGCATCAGGATATTTCACAGAGACCATGACCATATCTGGTTGGTGGTTTGGAACATTTTATTTTTTTCCATATTGGGAATAATCATCCCATTTGACTAATATTTTTCAGAGGGGTTGAAGCCACCAACCAGATATGCAATAAAGTGGGTCAACAAACATCAGCACTACGACTGAGGACATTTTCTCCGATCTTGCAAGGCGAGGGAGAAAGATCTATTTACGGATCCAAATTGGATGGTGGAGCCATGGTTTGTTGTAGACATTCCCAACGAATCTATTGACAAACAATGTAGGCCTGAGCTGATTGTGCGCAATTTGAAGCGTTTCAGGTGCAAAAGGGAACATAAACAGGGCAATGATACGCTAATTTTCTTCACACGTGTAGTTAGTATGTTCCCATGTGTGATTTGGTTGATGATGCCCACTGTTGGGTGAGTTGAAACCACCAACTGTTGACTCGTTTCCTGCAAAGATAGGATGCCCACAATTTGATGTTTTACGATCATTTCATATCATTTCCATATTACAAAGTTATAACCATCCGAAATCATTGGGGTTCATTATTAACCCTTCTGGCAAAAACATCAATATATTCCTATGCATATTTTAATATATTTTACGCATGGTTACGTAATGACATACTGTAATTCTATGCCTTAGATGTTTCATCCCCGCAGGGTGACGCCTTGCAATCTGCCTCTCCGCGTCTGCGAGGCGATCGCGAGGTGCCTACAGGGTATCTGTCTCTTTTTGAACTTGACATTTTCTCGTAAGAATATCAGAACATAGCTGGTTGGTGGTTTGGAACATTTTTTCCAAACTATATATTAAAATATGGGACAATCCTTCCGAATCCTTCCCATTGACTGATATTTTTCAAGATGCTTAAAACCACCAACCAGATATATAGATTTTGGACATTTGGGGATGTCTCATTTCCAGATTATGGCTTACCGGAGGGTAGCTCTAAGATCTTGGGAGTCATCTGCGAAGCTCTGCAGCATGCGGCAGCTGAACTTAAGGCACCTGTGATGCGAATGGGCCCTGATAACTTCTGATTTCACCACCCCGATATTAAACACCCCCTAAATATCCTAAATGGTCCGGGTCTTTAATATAATATTAATTATAGGGGGAAGAGATCATAATCCACAACATTGTCAGTAATGGATGATAAGGGCAAAACATGGTCAATGATGGGAGTCTAAACATGTCTAAACTGGCAATCAAGAACCCTCCATTCGTATCTAGGTTCTAGTTGGTTCTAGATATTCAATGATTCAATGATGTTTATTCAAAAAGTGTACGTGATATCGGCTTAATTAACATTTGCAGATATGTTGATCATTGATGATATATACTGATATATATATATACTGATATATATATATACTGTATATAGTATATATATATATATATTAGAATGTATAATATTTGTTTTCAACAAAGGATGTAGTTCATCGTTAGATGATTGGAGGGCAGCAGTTGGTGGAACATGTCATTTTCCCGTGCCATCTCTATGACCATGTTGCTTAATGGCAACAACCCACCTGGGTGACATGACTTGCATCACAAGGCCTCAATCAGGGCGGGTTGAACAACACGACTATCTCCCCAACCGAAACACCCATAAAATAGAATGATGGCCACTCGAAATATGATCCAAACCAGAAGATCGCATCGCACAACATTTCAAAAGTTGATTTTCATGATTGTGTTTCATGTGTTTCATTTCATTGCTGTTCTGAAGCGACATTCCAAAGCTCAGGTGAGCTTCGATCAGGAGATCATGAGCCGTGGCGTCCCTAAGATCAGAGTGGTCACCAGTGGAACCTTGGGACATGTACAACCACCGATAGAGGGATGTTTCCCCAGTGGTGCTGTTTTGAAGATGTTTGGAATACGTGTTTGATGTGTATACCTGCAAAATACATCAAAATACAGATCACTGTAGTTTAGAATAAACTATATATGGATTAGAATATGCTCATAAGTACATAGATTGATCGGTCAACAGGTTCAATTCATTACTTGACTCTGAATTTGATTACCCAGTATTTGCAATAAAATGGACAACTAAATGAAGAACTCAAACGGCTCGAGGCAAGACGGACACATGTTGAGGAAGGTGGTGAAGGCTTCCGCGGGAAGACAGGGCCAGACATGCCAACAGATACATGAACGGATTGGTTTGGTTGGGAAAATCTTCACCGGAACCCATCGATTTTCCATAGATTTTCCCATTCAATATATATGGGGTTTTCCTGTAATTTTTCCGGTGAACCAACCCATTGAATACAGTAATTAATCCTACAGTAATCCTTAAACCTATAGTATGCGATTGTCATGTTGCCTCATACCCTTAGAAAAACTTCATGCCCATATATATCATCTACCGATCATTCCTCATTCCCCGAAAAATGATGGAAATGGTTAACCCCGCAAAGTCTGCTGAGGATTTTGTACCTGGGTGGAAATTCCAGGGTGTGGGCTATCGGAATCGTGGTTGTTATGGCTATTTATGAGGGAAAAGGGATGCTAACATTGGTTGGATTAAAATGGATTAAACCGTATTAAACCCATAATAAGCTGATTTTTGAGGTTTCAAACTGTTTCACATAAAGCGAGACAATCCGACAATCCGACACTCCGATGCTTTACTCATGGATCACTCCGCAGGCAACTGTTGCTCAAAAACCATGGCAACCAGATGCTTCCGATATTGAACCCTCTCCATACACCCATTCTTGACCTGTGCCGTGCTAAACCCTTTGGCGCTGAGTCAACTCGGTCGATACCCCCATGACCATTCCAACGAAGCTGAGCACAATTAGCTGCTGTTCGGCCTGAACGAAGGGGATTGAAAGGATTCTGACATTTCTGACCAAGACTAGGATTCTCCCTTGAGGTTACGGCAGTGAACAATTGTACCTAGCGACCGTCCAGTGCCTGCGACTAGCAGGGTATACATGGTACTAGTATACAGTATACACCCCATGTATCCCAGTGATAAGGGCACTTTTTCCCGCCGTCAGAAACGACGGGAGTTTTGTGCCCTACTGTACATCAATGTTTTTTTAAACGTTTTCATCTGGCCTCTGAGTGACAACTTTCATGTTTTCCTACATTACGGAGGACCGGCACCGGCAATCTCTGGGTTTTCCCATTGACAATGCACTGTGAACATTGAACATATGAGTCCAGCCGTCCAGCTACTGATCTTTTTTCCCTTTGGCATTTTGGAGAAGCTGTTCTCATCATTACAAAAAAGTTAGCAGTTCTGGTAGATGTAGGGTGCACAAACGGGTGCACAAACCATTTACTTGTTGGAATCCCAAGCCGTCCATTGGATTCCGCCAGTTTTAAGGATGAAATTTCTATTGATCTTCAGCTTCTTTACCTGGAGCACTGCTTTGCGGCGCAAGACCACCCTGGGTCGAAAAGAGGCGCGGTTGGTCAGGGGATAGCAGCTGGGTCGGTGAAGATCCGCAACGGAAGTTATCGAATTGATGGATGGCTCCAACGTGGCTGAATTGTTGCAACAAAGCTTGAAGACTGGTTGAACTTTGCTGATTGACGCCCATGAAGTGATATTATATAAATTGTTTCAGCACAACAGGGAAGTTAGACATATGTTTTTTTTCTCACAAGACATGCAAAAACAATGAAATGACCACGAGCAGAGGAAGCCTCATAGCCGAATCATGATCATTGTCTTCCCGGGACTGTTGCAAAAACAGCTGTGGAAGATGTTCTTCCATTTGGAAGGCATTTCTTGCGTCCATGTGACATCGGTTGGGTACATTAATTAAGCATGACTAAGCTACTGATGCTCATCATTTCACAAGCAAGCCAACCCATCAGGTCTCCAAATATACAGGTACATGCACGTATATATATATATATAATATGTGTGTGTCTATATGCATATAATTATACATAACACACACATGTATATATATATATATATTATAATATAATGTATATAATTGTGCATATATCAAGATCCCGGCCAGATGATATCTCCATGATCTTCACGTTCTCAGGTCTTTGTGCACCTCTTTGAATGGTCCTGGGAGGACGTGGCCAAGGAGTGTGAGAATTGGCTGGGCCCCAAAGGCTACGATGCTGCGCAGGTGTCGCCACCGACCGAAACTAGGTTTCCAGCTAGTCACATGGGCTGACAACACATGAAGCTGGATTAGGATGCTTCTTTATCTTGGTTTCCAAGCAGGCGCTTGTCAACCCGGGCCCGGGCACCATCAGGGCCCACTTCAAGCCAACCAAGGAGCATATTCAAGGCAGCCCCTGGTGGACCCGCTACCAACCCGTGACCTACAACCTCACATCTCGTTCGGGAGATGAAGAAGCTTTCGCATCCATGGTGCAACGCTGTCAAAGATCCGGCGTGAAGATCTATGTGGATGCTGTGTTGAACCATTGTGCGGTCGTCTGGCAGCGTTTTAGTGCAACATGTAAACAAAGCGGGTTCATTTGCTACCAAATTCATTGACCACGCATACCAAAGTTGTTGCAATATTTTGCATGAAAGGGGGCCAGTAAGCGGCTCTGGGAAACGTAAGGTTTGCCTGCTTGGTGTTCTCAAAGATCTGAAATTTCTATCCTTACCTGAGGTGATGATTCCTAATGGCCAGTGTTGTTTCAATGGGGATTGGGACCTCTGAATTCGCACGAAGCACGAACCGGGGTGCCAGGCGAGTAGCGGGACAAGCATCGCTGGGAGTTCCTATGGGGGTCGTCGAACGCCAATCTTCGAGCCTCAAGATTTTCATCACAATAGTGCCTTCGGATGATTTTTTGAGGAATTGATGCCCAGAAGCTGTATTAGTATTGCTATGTATTGCTTGAAGATTTTTTGGTTCAATGTGGGCACAGGTTGTGGAAGTTCGTGCTAGATCGGCACTCGTACCCAGTTTTTGTACCGCAGGCTGGCATCAAGGTTCAAAATCCTAAATGTGCACGTTCCAGCCCTGGATTTTTCAGTGTCGGCAACTCAACATAGCTCACCTTTTTCCAGGATTGGATGAACAACATTTACAGGACACCTTTATATTTGATGGTAAAAAACATGTAAAAACTATGATTTCCTGCGGGTTCCTGTGATTATCCCTTGAAACAATCCACGGCTCAACCTGTGAGCTGAGGTAATGATGTGACCAGCAATTGTGGCGTCAGCAACTTTGCGGACATGCACAATGTGCAGTACTGCGATTTGCAGGGACTGCCGGTGACTGGGACTTGTTTTATTCTATTTCAATTGCGCGTTGGGTAGACAGATGTAGACAGGGTCAGTGGAGAAACAATCTTGTCCACGGTTCAGGCCTTCCTGAAGTTAAACCATGGGAAAACCGGCAATTGCCACGTCGGCTTTCAAACATGAAGGGGGAGGAACAATTCACCATGCCCAAGGAAAGACTACAGCAACTAATTTATAAACTCAAAAAAAAAGTATGCGGGTGATAGGGAGAGAGAAGGGTAGCTACCAGCGTGACTTCATGTAACGTTAATTGGATTCAGGTTGGCTACTCTCAGGTTAAGGAGCCGTCTAAAGAGGTTGTGCTTGACCGCCTTTTTGCTCCGCTGCATTTAAGGACCTGTGCACTGGTTGCCCTAGTGTGCAGGATAAGATGGCTTCCTACTTGAGCCATTTGCAGGATTTAGGCGTGGCGGGCGTGCGATTGGATGCTGCCAAGCACATTCCAAAGGAGGATTTAGCAAACATCTTTGCGATGCTCAGCTCACTGTTATGGGAAAAAGACAGTTGGCCAATCAATTCCATGAGGGCAGAGAAACCAAGGAATTTCAGGGTGCTCAAGTCTTGACTTTGACATAAGGTGGGGCCGAGATCTGTTTATGTAATGCTAGGGAGAAACATGAAGTCTCGCTATATTAGAATTATATTAGACATAATGGGTGTGCTAGCTTCCTGCCTTTCATATTCCATTGACTTTATCAACTGTATCCGTTCTCCGACGATGATTGGATTGATGCTGCTCGATGTGGCTCGATGCGGCTGAGGAAAGTGAAGGGCGGAGCCTCATCACTCTTTAAATACGTGGAGGCCTGGCTTCAAAGTCAAGTTTCTATAAAGCCGCAGCTTTAATGTTTCTGTTTGAGGCAAGGGGGCGAACATGGGCAAACAAGTTATTTGGCCTTTGACCCTCGGAGCATCCCTTTTTGAATGCCAACCTCTTGATCGAGACCAATTTCAGGGTGTTTTTCCCCACCTGCCAGGTGAGGGTTGTTAGATTTTATGTCAGTTGCCTCCTCCTCCTCCTCCGCCTCCTCCTGCCTCGTCCTCCTCTCCTCCTCCTCCTCCTCCTCCTCGTCCTCCTTGTCATCCTTGTCGTCCTTGTCGTCCTCGTCGTCCTCGTCGTCCTCGTCGTCCTCGTCGTCCTTGCTCAACTGCGACCCGCGATCCACAGTGTTCTCTGCCGGACCTCAACCACGACCACCCACGCCCAGTGTTCCCTGCCGGACCTCAACCACGACCATCCACGCCCAGTGTTCCCTGCCGGACCTCAACCGCGAGTATCCATGCCAAGTGTTCCCTGCCGGACCTCAACCACGACCATCCGCGCCCAGACCTCAACCGCGACCATAGAATGTCAGAAAGAATGTCAGAAAGAATGCCAGATAGAATGCCAGAAAGAATGCCAGATAAAATGCCAGATAGAATGCCAGATAGAATGCCAGATAGAATGCCAGATAGAATGCCAGATAGAATGCCAGAAAGAATGTCAGATATGCCAGATAGAATGCCAGATAGAATGCCAGATAGAATGCCAGATAGAATGCCAGAAAGAATGCCAGATAGAATGCCAGATAGAATGCCAGATAGAATGACAAATAGAATGCCAGATAGAATGCCAGATAGAATGCCAGATAGAATGTCAGAACATATGTCAGATAGAATGCCAGATAGAATGTCAGATAGAATGCTAGATAGAATGCCAGATAGAATGGATAGAATGCCAGATAGAATGCCAGATAGAATGCCAGGTGGATGTCAGATAGATTGCCAGATAGAATGCCAGAATATATGTCAGATAGAATGTCAGAATATATTCAAGATTTGTCCAAATATACGTCCTGACATGTCCTGACATGTCATGGTGGGGATCACACGAAGTAAAGTAATTTTCTGTGCCCTGTCTAGTTCTGAATTTCAATCTAGCTCTCTTTGTTGACAAAAAAATCGGGCAACGTGGTCACCTGACAGGTCTCCAAAGCGAGTAGCAAGGATGTTGTTTCAGAGGATTTGTATGTGGACGTCGCTGATGCCACCCAGCTGAGCCCGATCGCAAGGGACATGTCGTTTTGAATCGAGCTGTGTATGGAAATGAACGATATCATGCTTAGGTCTGCATGCACACGTAAAAAGGTCTGCGATATGAAACTGCACTTTTTTGCTGATGACGATGAATATTACTATCTTACGTGCATCATTGCCTTTTCAAAGTGATGGAAAACGTGGCTTGCTTCCTGCTTCGTAGTTTGCAAGATGTTTGGGAAGAAGAATGGTTTGTTGTCCATCTTGTCATCTTCAGGAAGGTTGACATATCTATCTAATCGAATCGAATTGAATCTAATCATATCTAGTCTATTCCAATCTATCTATCTATCTATCTATCTATCTATCTATCTATCTATCTATCTATCTATCATTCATTATCTATCTATATTCAAATTATATCAAATTATTGCAAATTGGTTTCAGTACACCGCTCAGCCGGGTCACCACCAAGTCCTTTGGAGTGCTGCATTTGAACCCACTGAGTTCATCCGAACTCTGACCTCCATTGGTTCAGCTTGAGGTCACTGAATTCAACTATTACTTGCAACTGGATCCCTTGATAGCGGAGACTGGCCAGATGTTCAACTTGGAGTCTTTTGGACAGGGCGGACTCCTATCTGGTCAGAAGACCATTGTCTTCGTTGACAACCATGATACCCAGCGATCTCAGGACTGACGTGACGCTGACACTGAAGAGAGCGAAGGCTTTGAGAAGCTTATTGAATTGATATTATATATATTTATTATTTTACGTTATTACACTATATAACCCCGCCTAGAGGGGTTGTAACCCTGGCTAGAGTCAGGGCTCATCAGCAAAACAGGCGACAAACACTATGTGACTATGTTCTATCTATTTGAAGCCTATGCGCAATAAGAGCCCATCATCAGTTTGTTTATGGCTTTTCCTTTTTGAGATCTCCACCGCAAGTCGCCACAGAAGGACGTGAATGCAGCGAAGCTGACCTACAAGTCCGGGAGGCTGCATCTTGACTGCAGCCTTTGTCAAAGACCAGCAATTGAAGTTTGCATCCGTACACGCGCACATGAGAAGCGCACGCACAATCACGCACATCCAAGTAAAAAATTGGCGGTCAACTGCCAACTGTCCCAAAAAATGTCCTATGAGGAGAAAATTAGGCCAAATACAGCGGGAAGCTCCAGTTCACTGGCCCCGCATTCCTGTAGATTGATCTTGGTGATGGGACTAGCCCTTGGGCTGGTATACGGTATACCTACTATGTACGTCTAGTATTATTATTATTATCTAGCAATACGTGGTGTATCCTGCTTGGATAACCATCCCCGGAAATAGTTTGCACTATTAATATAATAGTTAATGATGTCGTCGTATAGAAGCTGAAATGTTTCAGGGTGTTTCAGGATCATTTGTGCTGCTCCTTCATGAGGTACCTGGGAATATGTGCGATGAACATCCTACTGGAGCAAGTTTTTTCCTGGTAAAGTGGCCGTCAGCCTTCATGTGAATTGATGATATTGACGGGTCAAAATCTCCATCAGATGTGGATCAATTGTTTGCCGGGTATATAGTTGGGTGTTTGGCAGCTGGCTGAATTCCACGAAAAAAATATGATATTCTATAATGTCAACCCTGGATTAATAAACCCCTAGGCTGTTTAATTGGGAGGGTACCATTTAAGTATCAAATCATGACTATTGGGGGAATACCCCCTCTATTAGAGTTAATAAACCAGGGTTTATTAATCCGGGGTTGACATTACATTATTCCTTCTAATGATGCCATGTTTGGTCATCGCATGGGATTCAAGGTATTTGTTGGCCACAGCTTTCATGCTGGCTCATCCGTATGGCTATCCACAGGCGGTTGGGAGCGGGCACAGGGCCAGGTGTAGCATGGTGCTGCATCTTTGTTGGACGCTGGGGCCGTCAAACCCTGGTTTATACAGAGCTGTTTTTTTCTTTGGGGTGTCTTTTTGCTTGCATATGCGATATGCTGCGATCATGATTGGAAGATATTGGAACAGAGTTTGCCACACTTTGCCACCAGCTCCGCAGCAGGTGATGAGTTCCTTCCACTTCACGGAATTCGATCAAGGCGGGATCCAATGGATCCAAGGGTGGCACATGGGACCATTATGCACCATTCAGGAGTTATGCATAGGCTTGGTGGGGTCAGCATGATCAGACCTTTCTTCAACATTGTCTATAGCTATACACCTATATGCCATGGACATGGTAATGTGGAATACTTGTTTGTAAAAAATCCCCGGCGATTGTTTCATGTCTCGGTGGGCAGTGCAACCATGGCAGATATCATCATGTTTTCATCAAAGATGCGAGCGAGTGGTGGAAAAGAAGTGTCAGTTCATGATTTGTTTCAACTCTCATTCCCAAGGTTCGGCTCCAATAAAAATAGAGGATATCACTTTCATATGTCAGATTCTTCAGTTGAAACCTTCAGGCCTTCGCTTGCCACCCAAACAATGAATGATTGAACGATAACAACTGATTCTTGAATATTGATTATTGAATTGAATATTGATTTAGCATTGACATCCAGTAGTATTACTTGGTTGATTCACGCCTATTCATGAGAATAACTCATTGATGGTTGATGGTTAAAAAATGTTAAAAACGCCTTATTGTGAAGACGATTCTTTTACAGTAACTGGAAGATGTCAACTGTGCCCATGGTGAACCATTCACCATCATCCGTGGCAGGTCCACCAAGCATCCCTGTGCATAGTGACACAGGGGATGTGCATTGTGGCGAGTTCCAGCCCTGGGTTTGTGAGCACAGGTCGAGCGAAGCCAGTGAAGCCAGTCGCGAAGGGTTCCACAAGGGGTTCCACGAGGGGGTCCATCATGTTCCACACATTCTCCGAGTAAAGCGCGAGGAGTCAGACGAATTTCTGGCCACAAAGGGGAGAATATCAAATGAATACAAAGACCCCTGCAAGGATTTTTTTGTTGAGCACCAATGATTGGCCAAGTATTGTTGTGTTCGATTTGGTTCGAAAGCCATGGTCCAATAGTTTACCCAAACGGCTCCCAGCTTTGATGTGACCTGAACGTGGGGTGGTCAATGTAGCGATAAATGGGTTTGGATCCATTGGTGACCCAAGTTGTTGACCCAGGCACTGGCAGTCATGATTGATACTTTTTGGCTTGAATATGTTGTTGGCTACAAGATACTGTATGTTTTGTCTTCATGCTTGTAATGGCAGGCCGAGAGGTGATGTGATGCCGATTTGCATTTAAATCCTGTCAGCCTCCAACATGATTGCTCCCAACAGAGTGAACATGCTTTTAAATGACTCTAGTAGGAGCAGGAGGACAGGCAGTAGCAGGAGCAGGAGCACTAGCACCAGCACTACAAGTAGTAGTAGTAGTAGTAGTAGTACTAGTACTAGTACTAGTACTAGTAGTAGTAGTAGTAGTAGTAGTAGTAGTATTAGTAGTAGTAGAAGTAGAAGTAGATGTAGAAGTAGAAGTAGAAGTAAAAGTAGTAGAAGTGGTAGTGGTAGTGGTAGTGGTAGTAGTAGTAGCAGTAGTAGTAGTAGTAGCAGTAGTAGCAGAGTAGTAGTAGTAGTAGTAGTAGTAGTATAGTAGTCGTAGTAGTAGTCGTAGTAGTAGTAGTAGTAGTAGTAGTAGTTAGTAGTTAGTAGTAGTAGTAGTAGTAGTAAGTAGTAGTAGTATTAGTAGTAGTAGTAGTAGCAGCAGTAGTACTAGTATTAGCAGGAGGAGGAGTAGTAATTAGTAGTTCTACTAGTAGTAGTAGTAGTTGTTGTTGTTGTTGTTGTTGTTCTTCCCTTGTTGCCCCTCATCGCAGGTGGGTTGGAATTGCCAACATGGTGGCCTGGCGCAAGATCGCGGCGGATCGCCCTGTGACGCATTTCACGGCCTTCGGTGAGGACACCATCTCCTTTTGCCGAGGCGCCATCCACCCAAGATGTCGGGATGTCGAGGGGATGTTTTTTTCTGTTGAACGGATGCTTGAAAAACGATTATATACATAATTATGATTAATTATGGGATGTGTGTATGTGTGTGCTTTAGTTGTTTCTGCGAAGCTTTGAGGAGTAAGAAGAAGTTGTGTAGTACTGACACGGTTTCGCTCGCAAGATCCCTGTGTTTTCAGAGTTTCCGCATCACGCCAGGTGAGGTGGCTTGTATTGCCTTTAATCGCCAAGAAGCAGATGATTGGGAAATTGAGCTGACCTTCCCCTTGCCAGCAGGAGCTGACTTTTCCACTTGATATCCCTAGGTCACCAAGTGGAGGAACCATCCAAGTGTGCAAGTCAAGACCAATGCAAGCCAATCCATGCATTACATACCAACACCCAACACGAGTGGCTCGGGATATCTTGGGATGTGATTTGCAGGAGAGTATTGCGACATTGCGCAGTCGGATGCTATGGGCTGTCCCTTGATCAAGGTCTCTTCTGATGGACGGACCTTGTTGCGGGTGCCGAACCAGGGCTTTGTGGCGATTCATGTGGGATCCGCGAAGAAGGCCCTGCAGGGTGCCATGGGATGATCCTGGTGATGGTGGTGATAACGACGATGACTACCCGTTTGGCTGAAGATCGGGCATGGAGAAAGTTTGAATGCATTTCTTGTTTGCGTGAGTCACCGAACTAGCCAATATTTTATGATGTGGTTTGTTTCCTTTTATAAATCAAAGTGCATCCCAACACATGGATACAAATGTAATTAATGTTGGCTGCCTAATAATAACCCCACCCCCTAAAGTTTTGAAAACAATCCTTTTTTTTAGGGGGGGAGGGGTCAGCATCCCAATAGTAAATTCCTGGAACCCTATTCTGGATACTATACCATGCCCTCTGGACAAGGTCAGAACATGAGTTTTTTGGCAATACTAAATTTAAATTAGGCTAATTTACTTTTAGTATTGGAGAAAAAACTTGAGTTGGGAAAAAAGCTTGCACTATTGCCATGTTGGGTCCACTATTGGCCATGCCCTCTGGACAAGGTCAGAACATTAGTTGTTTGGTTATTAAAATTAAATTAAGCTAATTGACTTTTAGTATTGGAGATAAAACTGGAGTTGGGAAAAAAAAGCTTCTACGATTGCCAAGATATCACTATTGGTTAGACAACGTTATCGATGATCCATATACCCCGCATAATTACCAACAATTTCAATGCATGTTACTTTATTTTTTTAAACACCGGAACTATCTCCAGGAATCATCTGAGTATTTGGAGAGAATCCTACACCATATATTGCAGAGTATATGTGGGCATATGTGGACTAAATGTATACAATTATACGTGGTGACGTGGTGTTGATTTGTTTTTTTGACGAGCATTTTCAGAATGCCCACGGTGTACAACCAACTTGGGAGGGCAAATCTACAGGGCATGCCGATTTGTTGTGAAAATCATGGTTTCCTGTGAAAAAAAAACAGGGCCTCTCCGTTCATACATATAATAATTATGATACCTACATGACCCTTTGGGAATTCAACATTGCTATGAAATATCACGGTGTTTTTATTAGGGAATCATCTATACATGGACAATTTTCCACTTCGCAAACTGTCAGTCGTTACCGGGAGGGTAGATGTTAGTAATGTGGTAAACCCAATAGTAAACCATCAGTCTTGGAGGGTTTGTACCATCCATTTGTAGTAAATTTGGAGATGGTTTATAATATAACTGTCCTAAAACTTGTTTATTTACTAGACTAATATGTTTTATATATATATATTTGGTTTAAAATATGGTTTACTAAAAAAAAAAAACACTGAATTTAGTATTGGGTTTCCCTTGGTTTCCCATATGAAACCCATGGTTTCCATGATTGGTAAACCCCACCATCGAACCAGGAAATGCAGGCAGATGATGAATCAGCACTTGGCGAGGTCAGGATCTCCATGGGGGTTGATCTCCAAGAGTTTGTTTCAAGACCAGACCTTTAACCATTTTTAATAATCTCATACCATCTGGTAAACTAAGATAGCTATGGCAAATCACCATGGATACTAGGTAAAGCTGGAAAAAATGACCTAAAGACCTTGAACCATTCCAGTTTTTTGACAGAAACAAAAGGGATTGAAAACATGTTCAACCACCAAATTTTGAATAGTTGTTCATATTCAACCACCCGACCAGACCTTTTGTTTGGAGGATTGAATATTTTTTTTGGGGGGGAGAATATTGAGAAGTAGCTATGTTTCATGAGGGTTTGGTTTTCTTCTCCCCAAATGATGGGTTGGTTGTTTGCTTTGTTTTTTTGAGGTGACCACGTGATAAGGAAGACAGCTAAGTTCTATTTCACGAATTTCACAAGAAACATCGTCCAGCATTTGCCGCAATTGTTATGTATATAATTTATGACTTTTGATATGTCACTACATAATTGTCCGTATATCCGTACACTGATAGTATTTTATAGCAACTCCAAGAAAATAAAGAAAAGTAATTCATCCCTGATTTAGGATCAGATTTCTTCATTCGATCCCGGGGTTGCTACATCAAAGTCACCCTCCTCCAGGTGCAGTTGCTGCGACCCGTTCCGCAGAAGAGTTCCTACACGATCAACGCGGCTTGGAATGATCTCCTCGGGGGTAACAGTGGGAAGTATCCAACTTAGGCAAGCGGCCTGCAGCACCAAGTGCCGCATTGCCAATAAGATCAGCAAAAAATTGCACGCCCAACACGTCGGGTCAAAAGGGCTTGCAACTTACATGTGAAAATCCTCGTCTTGTTCAGTGAGTTTGTCACTCGCCTCGATCGAGTTGGTTTTGTCACTTACCAAACAGCGTCGGTGACAGTCACCGACCCCTATTGATTGTGTGCCCAGATACAGGTTGGTCGCTTTGCCTCACTTATGCCATTATGTCCTGAAAAGATAGAAGAGTGAATCAAGGTTAACAAGGTAGAGTCCCCAACTCCCAACTTCATCAAATCCTTTGGAGAATTTCATGTGGTCGGATCGCAAAGCTGAGGTTGCAGGTGCAAAAGACGCTTAAAGATTGCACAAAAAATGCTGCCAAAGGCGGCCGGTCGCGGCATGTCGTCCATCTCAGCTCATCATGGTGGTCAACATTTGCGAGGATGTTTCAAACTTAGAACATTTGTTGAGTGCTAAGGCAGAACACAGGATGTTTGAGCAAACCATTGGGCAGCGCTGCATGCATCGTTTCACCATGTTCAATTCTTTTGTAGCTTGCGGCCATCATTTGGTGAATGCACTCGCAGCTGAAAAAGAGGCTATGCGGCTATGCGTGCTAGAGTTGCTGAGGGCAGCGCCTTGAAAAGCCATTTCACTTGCAGGTCGTCAGTGCCATCTAGATATTGAATATCATATTGTATTATCAATATTTCATATAAATAATATTTTTTTGTTAATAATATAATAAATAAATAAACTATATAATGACAAATAAACATCTAGAAAAGACGGTGACGGTGGCTCCATTGACATCCCATCTCTGAGCCATAGCCACACAACCTTTGGTTTGATGAATGGAGGGGACAGCACACAAGCAGCAAGCTCTGGTGATCCGAGATATCCTCGGAAAGTTGCTCAGCAGTGGTTCTGATCATGTTCTGATCATAAACCACGAGATTATTTGGATATATGGCATGGTTTCCCTACCCATTCATAGATGTTCCTCCTGCATGAACCATAGATATCCCCTCCAACCCATGAATCGACCGCCAGGAACGACCGATCACTGGTGCTGACAGCCCTCAGCTGCAGTGGCCTCCGAGTCCTCTGCCACGCTTCCGAGCAGCTGTATCCTGATGGCAGGGCAGGTGTTGATGAAGGCTTCCACCAAGTTACCCTCTGGTAATGTAACAGTTTGCTATTGAAAATGGTCCCATTAGTTCTTTGATTTACCTACCATAGCTATGTAAACCTTTACCAGAGGCTATGGCTATTGCTAGTTGTTAAATCAGCATCTCCCCAAGTAAACAGAAACCGCGGAGCGGGAGGTTGGAAGACTACTTTCCTCTCAACATGTGGCTTTTGTCAGGGTCCTTTCGCTAGTTAGGGGGATGGTAAATGTCCAGATTGTTTCATTTAACGAGGAAAGTGATGACCATTCATTAATTTTGGAGAAGATTGTCCTACTTTCAGCCATTTTCTGACCAACCCAATATGTCTAATATATTTCAATATATTTATGTATATACATATACATATATATATATACATATATATATATACACATATATGTGTGCGTATTTCAACTGCCAGACTGCAGCTCGATGTCCGGCTGAGGCAGGCTGACCTTCAAAGCTGGCAGCGAGGAAAATGGCCCTTTGAAGCAGCGGTATGTCGTATCAGAAGTGTTGACAATTGTGCACCAACATGCTGCTATCATTTGGTAATTTATCAGTTTGCTATTGAAAATTGCCATTTATATATATATATATTATAGTTGATTTATCTTTGAAAAGTGGGGATTTCCCATAGCTATGTTAGTTTACCAGAGGGTATCTTTTTGAACGTCTATGGATATTTAAAGTATCAAATGATGATAAATTATGCCTCCAAAACCGCCAATTGATCATGATTCCGGTTTCTGTTTGTGAAGGGCTTGCAGCATCTTGCAGCTATATGAGCTCAGCAAGACAAGCTTCGAAGAGCATGGCATAGCCTCAAGCACCAAATAGCACTGGGCACTGTGAAGGTTTGCAGGAAACCCTCCCCACCCTATTTAAAAATCATTAAAAATCTGAAAGCAGACCCAGAAAGCAGACCCAAAATGCAGAAAAGGCAACTGAAAAATTGTGGGATCCCTAGGCGGAGGCTATGCCGGCTATGCCCAAGGGTCAAAGCTTAGAGGGTACCATAGGGTACCACAATATTTTCACCGACTGGCCTGGATCATGCTGCTGTAGTCCATTGTGCTTGGCATGGGCTCAGCGAGTGAAGAGGCAGTGCAGTTCTCAGTGCAGATGAGCAGTTTCTAGATGTCGCTTCAAGTGAAATCATATAAAATCAGTTCTTGCCTACGGGTATATATCTACATAACTATGCAATTATTGTAGTTCATGGTAATTCTTTGCGCCTTTTCCATCCTTTTCCCTTTAACCAACCCAGTCTTATCCGGAGCCCCATGATTCAAATTGACATGTCCATACATGTCCTGTCTCCTCTGAGGTCGTCGGGGATCCTTGGCAGTGTCGTTCTCAAACCCCGGCTGGAGTAGCAGGCAGTCTTACAGCCATTTGGTTTTCAACCGTCTTGTAGCTTACAGCTAGGCTAAAGCAGAAAGCTTTGGGTTTGAACATGCGTTTAGCTAGAATTTTGGCTAGAATTTAATTCCGTCCTTTTTTTGGAGATCGACCCATGTCAACTGTCAACCCTTTTTCCTGCCAGCAGGGATGTAATGAAAGGGAAGGAGCAACTACTCACAACCAACGCTTTCGCATGTCTTCACCCAGCTATATGTGCGATAACACCAGGAAATTCTGCAGTTACTGGGATGCAGATCCAAGATGATCAAAGATTATGGTACTCACAGTAGTAACATTTCTTTAAAAGCATGCTGTATATAAAGATGTTGTTCCCATTTGTTTCCGATGTTCACCGATGATCCCAGTTGGTTGGTGAACTCTTCAGTGGTTTTTTTCCACGCGACTGGAGTGATGCGAGTAGATGTCACGTATTATTAACTATCCCCAAATGGGAGAATCCCGGAGATATGGCTACGATTCGTAATCAGTAAGTTTATCATGAATTTTCATGATGTTGCCTATGAATGTCTATGTCTATGACCAACAACTATGGGTTCCTATTATATCATATTAAATCCTAATCCTATACTATACTTATAGACAGTGTCCCCAGTTTCACCGCCACCCTCCGCACACAAAAAAGGACCTGATCCAGTTGCACCTCATTGGCTCGGTCGATGCGGGCGACGGCCAATGGAGTAGCCCGGTGGTGGCAGCCCTGCCCACCAGCAGGTTGGGAGATATGCAGCAGGAGGAGGGGTCCCAGGGAGGTTCAGAGCAATGGACTAAGTTTGTGATGGAGATTTCTATCACATGTATATGATGTATGTATATATATATGATGTATCATTACATATTATAGTTGTATTACTTTATATGTATGCAAAGATCACGCGCGCGATATGTGTTCATACGTATACTGTGGTTATACCTAATATGATCTAATATGCTGTGCACGGTAAAGGTCTATTGGCTCTACCGACTTGGTGGGAAACTGGTCTGAAACACCATGTAAGCAAATGATTCAACAACAAATCAAACACATGGAACTCTTTACCAGATCTGTCTTCACTGGCCGAAACTTGCAACTTGCCAGCCCCGGGTTGAGGAGATTGCGAAGTTCGTGCCCATCAACAAAAATCAAGTGCCTCACTACAGCCACGAATCCACAGCGACCAAGATCTATCAATGGATCATGGAATACATGGAACCTCTGTATGCAGGGCAAGCATAACATCGGAAGCCCCGGCTGGTGCCTCCAAAAACTCAATGGGAACGGGGAATCTAATGCCGTAGCTCCACTAAAAATGCAAAGGTAAAAAGGTAAAGGCAAAACTCAACTAGGTTGTTTGTCAAGAACTTGCATGGTATTTGCAGCCATGTTCAGTCATCTTACCAGTTTTCCACAAGAGTCTGCCCTTTTTTTCTTTGATGTTTTCCCTTGAACTTTGGGCATCCGGGACGTTCACAGCCGAGGAAATCAAAGGCTACTTGAGCTCCTGGGACGTCATCGAAGTTAGCTGATGATAAATCGCGGGGCTTGAGGGCGGCGCCTGTTCTGGACAACCCCCTGAAATAGGTAAGCCTTGCTTCGCTATTGTAGCTGCAGCGTTTGCAGGATCAGCATGGGCCGAAATTCAGCAAATGATGATGGGCAATTGATTGCAATTAGACATAATTATATGTGTAGCATTCTATTCACCAACAAATATTGGATGCAGGGGTTGCCAAGCAGCAAACGTGGCTACGAATCAAATCACTGTTACTCGTACCCTTAAACAGGATGGTTCCTTGCGGTTAGCATGGCCTTGAACTGTGACCCATACGGTCCATACGTATATCAGAGCTGGTTATTTCCAGGTTCTATAATTGAATTTCACATGAGGTGATGGACTCTGGCAATGTCAAATATCTAAGCATCGTGCAGATTCCAGATGTCCAATTTCCAGCAACTGCATCAACCTGGTCCTTTCAATCAACTCATCGGTCTTGGTGTGTCTTGGTTTCCCCAAAGCTCAGGATATACACGCGTGAACGCTCGTATTCTATGCTGTGAGCTGCTCAAAGAGTGGGCCTATGAGAACAGCAGCTTGGTATAGTTTGGTGCTAAACCAGTGGAGTTGGTGTTAAACAAGAGAACGGGAAGGCAGCAGCCGAAGAACAAACGCAAGAATAAAAACAATAATAGAAACCAACACAAGAACAAGAGGGCCAGAAACCATGAAATTAAACTAATGCTGGTGTTTTATGTGGTATGTTTGTTGTTGTATATTGTTGTATTCTTTCCGTGCAGAAAAAGATGATGATATCAATTGACAGCCGCGAGTGTGAGAAGTGGGACCGGGGACCGCAACGGATACCGAGGACATTTGAGTGATCGAGCTGTAGATCTGAACGTGGCCTGCAGATACAAAGCGTTTCCCGGCTATTTTTGGGTTTACGTGCCACCCATTCTTTTCGGATTGCTGGGGAACCAGGGGATGCAGCAGAAGCGATTAGAATCATTAGAATCTCAAACTGTTTCTGGATCACGTTTGATAATTAGTCGCTTTCTTCTATATCATCAAGATGAATGTTACCCGAGCCTTGAACGAGGGTGTTGTTGCTCTCGTTGTTTATTCCACAGTGTCAGTCAGTCAACAGGAACAGTTTTCTGGAAAACAGAGGGCAGCACAATGCCAAACAAGTCCTAGTTACTATAGTTTTTATCGCATTCCCAGGGACAAGGGAAGTTATACTGCATAGCAACGCCAGAATAGAAAGAAATAATTTGACATTCATGTAACTCAATCTCAAAGAACTGGACAAATATAATCGAAGGAAGTTTGGAAGTCAAACTTCCGACAATATGGAGAGATGAAAAAGCAGTCAGCAGGGAGAAGAGTCAGAAGAGAAAAGAGCAGAAGAAAGAAGATGCAGGTGCACGAAAAGGTAGGAAAGTCGCGAAACACTGTGTTTTTTCGTAGTTTTGTGGCTCCGGAGGGTTGAAAAGTAGGCTCGCTAAAGCGGCGGGTGCGGAGACATCTGGGGAGACGAGAGATGAAAAGTTGCACGCCGTTGTGGCGCGAAGCACATTTTGAAGTCAAAATGTACAAAACACACCATTGTCGGACCACTTTTGGAAGTTGAGATGTTGAAAAAGTGCACGGCGTTGTGGCGCGAAGCACATTTGGAAGTAAAATGTGTTAAAAACTGAGGGGTTCGGACCACTTTTGGAAGTTGAGATGTCGAAAAAGTGCACGCCGTTGTGGCGCGAAGCACATTTCCAAGTCAAAATGTACAAAGCACACCATGCTCGGACCACTTTTGCAAGTTGCGATGTCGAAAAAGTGCACGCCGTTGTGGCGCGGAGCACATTTCGAAGTCAAAATGTACAAAACACTACATGTTCGCGCCACTTTTGGAGGTTCAGATGTCGAAAAAGTGCACGCCGTTTTGGCGCGAAGCACATTTCGAAGTCAAAATGTTAAAAACACAATTCTCGGACCACTTTTGGAGGTTGAGATGTCGCTTCGCTTCACTACACTACATTACGCTACACTACACTCCACTACACTACGCTCCACTACACTACACTACATTACACAACACTACAACTACAACTACACAACTACACTCCACTACACTCCACTACACTAAATTACACTACACTACACTACATTACACTACACTCCACTACACTACATTACACTACACTGCACTACCTTCCACTACACTTCACTACATTACATTACACTCCACTACACTACAACCACAACTACAACTACAACTACACAACTACACTCCACTACAATACATTCCACTACTCTCCACTACACTAAATTACACTACACTACACTACATTACACTACACTACACTCCACTACACTACACTACATTACACTACACTACCTTCCACTACACTTCACTACATTACACTACACTACACTACAACTACAACTACAACTACACTACGACTAACACAACTACACTCCACTACACTCCACTACACGAAATTACACTACACTACACTACATTACACTACACTACAACTACATTACACTACACTTACACTACACTACACTGAATGACACTGCACCACAGATAGACAGGTAGACAAATAGACAGATAGACAGGTAGACAGCTAGACAGATAGACAGATGAAAGAGAGAGAGAGAGATAGATAGATAGATAGATAGGTAGATAGGTAGATAGGTAGATAGGTAGATAGGTAGATAGGTAGGTAGATAGGTAGATAGGTAATGAGATGAAAGAGAGAAAGAGAGAGATAGATAGATCGATAGATAGATAGATACATAGAAGATAGGCTGGTAGGTAAGTAGATAGTCAGAGAAAGAGAGAGAAAGAGAGGAGACCTCAAGCACCTTTCGGTCCATCAGTGGATTCGCTCTGCCATCCCTGATTCACAACAGCCAAGCTCTCCTATAGGTTTCCTATTTTTGAAACTTCCGCCGCCGCCTTGTGCGGTACTACTGGTAAGGTAGTGTAATTTTCTGTATGTAAAGTGTAGGCATCATCAAATGATCGAATGATCAAACCCACGATATCCTGAAAGTAAACAGGATGCAAGTTCTTTTCAGTGGGCATTTCAGGCATGTATCTTTGAGGTACCATATAATCGGGCCTTATATGAGGAATTCTACAGTACCTCCATGTTCTTTTTAGGGTTCTGAAATTCCCATTGATCAGGAAGCCACCTTGGTAGTATCTTGTAGCACTTAGCACTGCCCAGGTTCGTAGGACACTTATTGTACTTCCACGACCTATGGCTGGGGAGCTTAACAGACGGGGTCCTTGGGATTCTTTTGTGGTGTGATGCAAACAATCCAGAGCTGGTGGCTCAAAGAACCTCAACAAGTTGTTCTAGTTTTTATTTGGGTTGCCTCTCCGACCATCTCCGACCATCTCCGACCTGGGATAACGATCTTGACTTAAACCTCTTGGGGATGGGTGCCGGCTGGTGCCTGCTGAGGGCTGAGTCGGAGTACGGAAAGACGCGCACGAAACTGGTTGGACAGCCACATGGAATCGTGAGAAGCAAGAACAAGGTGCCCTCGGCATGGGCTTCACTTGGGGTGTTAAACTGCTTGGAGGCCATTTTTTTTACAGAATGCTATGTGTTGTTATGTTCATGTTTTCTCGTTGCTGCCTGGTACCCACTTCTGACCTCGCAATCCATTGCTCAAAGCAACAGCTGCATTTTCTGTCGGGGGTCGCCTGCATTGACTGAAGCAGGCAACGCGGCAACATCCAACATTTATCCAACCGAATAAGTGCTGCGATCAGTTGATCACAATCTCTGGGAGGGAATGAATATGAATATGCAATTTGAATCTGGTTGTGATTTCAGTTAATTCCATCCTGAGATGGCAAGCACCCAAGTTGTTCCATTTATTTTTGACGCGGTTGAAAAATCAAGAGACCAGGCGTACTTGTTGGTCAGCCAGAGGCCCAACTTGCGAGGGCTTGTCATATCGTGTCACCCCATCTCCCTAATGAACACAACGAATTCCCCCGCACCTGAGACCCACCAAGTCAGGCAACTATTCCTTATAGACAACTCTGCGTGGCTGTTGCTGGGAAAACCATGTTGTTTTACACCCAAAGCATGTGATAACAACAAAACACAAAACTGATTGGTGGCATCAAGCATTTTGACAACATTTGATGTATTGTGCCTTCCTTGATGTCTCCGAAAATTGGGATGACTTCGTCATTAGTATATGTTATGCCTGTTATAGTGATTTTTTCACATATAAGTTACCCTTCTCCATCCCTAGTTCAGAACGGCAGAATCCTGGTGTTGGCCCCAGCTTGGATCGATTGGGGAGGAGACCTTTGTCACGGTCTTGGTGAAGGTGCATGACCAGTTGGCCAAGTTGCAGCAGACCTTAGAGAAGGCAAAGGGCGCCAAAGGGGAGACGGCCAGGGCCTAGACTTTAGGCTCAAAGAGCCCAAGAAAAGAATGGTCTTGTTGATGGGTATTTATTGCTTTATTACATTTTATCACAACTGGGGTAAGGGGAATACAGTATATTAATTAATGGGAATGATTATGCATAATTTTTTGCAAGTTCAGATAACTATTGTGCGTGAAAATTGTGTATTCCCTCCATTTCTGGTCATTTTCATTTGGAACATGAAGTTTGGGGTGCCCTGTTTCTGGATGAGCCCACATGGCCAAGTCAGATTGCCAGAGGGTCTAAGTGACCAAAATGGTTGAAGAAACCCGCGGCCCTACGAACAATGGCAAACATCGAAACAGCAATGCATGAAAAACACGGCCCAGCATTTATCCAAAGCCATGCTTCGTTGACAGAGGCAACTGACCAAAAACATCCAAGAACTAGCCACTACAAAAGAGGAGCCAGTCAGAAAGATGAAGGTCTCTTGCCAACCAACATCTATTGGTTCAGCATGATTCAGCCCCGAGTTCTGCATTAATTATGTGTTCTTTCTGGGAGGGATAAGATCATCACCTGAACTGTCAAGGTCTGCTGTTTCAATGGACAATGGTTACCTTGTGATGTCGTGCTTACTTTGCGGCTTGCAGGTGTATGTTTTGGTTTATTTGCGGAACATCCCAGAAGAACGTGAACACGACATTCTCTCAGTTTGTTTCTGAGCACATTGGCAAACTGTGCATAACCAAGACTAACCAATGCACGTTTTAACTTCACCCTCCTAATCAATTGAAGCAGCCAGATAACATGAAGAAACCAGACCAATCAACCAGATAGATAAATCATTTAAGTCAAATTGACAGAGTCAGATGCATAAACCATCTATGTAATATATTCATATACATGAAGCGTCTTAGATCCACCATAAATTAAGCCCATGAATCAACCTTGAACCAACTTTCAACCCCCAATTTTGATCGCCATGGGCGCTGCCTGTGCCCGCCGACGTCCCCCATTGGTGGCAGAGGGCGAGACGCCCTTCTGGGAAGAGCTGGACCGTGCCTCAGCGGTGCCAACGCTGGCACCGGGGGCAGACACTGCACCGGAGGAGGAGGAGGTACCGGAGAAGGATGAAGTGGAACTTCCAGGCCAGGGTAACCTTGGGTGAACTATGATAAAATATGGTAAGATGACAAGTTCCTTTGGTAAGATGATTGTAGCAAATCAGCATTGTATCCATTTTTTGCACACTTGGTCGACAAGATTGGGAAGCCATCGTCACCGCAGGCTATGAGCAAGCCAACCACCTGAAAGGCCAGGGGAAGGACAAGTTCGCCAGAGGGGAGGCAACTCGCCGGAAAACCGGGGCAAAATGCAGCAATGGTGCCAGTCGCGGCCCACAGATGTCCACAGTGGGTTCAAGGGAACGCTCTTGATGCTTAGTGTCAATGAGTGAAACACTAATCACGTGCATTTCAGCTTTAGATGGTAACCGGACGGGAGCAGCCACAATGTCCAATAATAAGGCATCATCATGTTTGGCCCTGCTGTTTGACATCTTGCTTACTTTCCTTATTCGCAACAATGTTCCCTACATTACCCTACATTATGGATTGGGTCTTATTCCATGGATCAGGTAGGCCAAGGAGCCGCAGGAAGTTGGACCGCATCAAGATAAACAAGATAATTACCAGACATGGAAGGTACAAGCCCATGACCAATGATTTCCCATGGGTTTGAGCGATGGATTTCCGCTTGCAACGTGCGCAGTGTGTTCATGTGTGTCAGTTAGCCGAGGCATGTTTTTTCTCGATTATATACTTACATGTATAACACATAGATACACAAACATGACATACATGAAGGGCAGGGCACAGTCAAATTACATTGAAATGCAAAATATGTGTGCATCAGTGTGTGCAGATGCTGTAGCATTTAAGGAATGTTTGTTGTTTAGATGCATAGAACAGTTTGCAACACAAGTATTTAACACCATGATGTAGTAGTACTTAGTATTATTTACTAGATATTTCAAAGCCAACAAGACATTAGTAGCTAGTATAGAGACATGTTCAGCACAATCTATACATATAAATTAAATTACAATCATATACATCTAATGTCAAGTTAGTATTAATCAACCCCTCCAGATTAATCAACCACCACTGCCCCATTTTTTGGTAATTTTAAAAAGGTGGTCCCCCCCAGATTAATAAACACTTTGGCATACCCCCGGTTAATAAACCACCAGTGTCGAAATCTCATTTGTTTATCCAACAAATTTTATTTCCATTTTTTTTAATCTCATCAATCTCAGAACTCATCATTGTTATACGTAAGGTTTAAGTTGATCATTGAAAATTTCAAAAAACAACTATTCCCCAAATGATCGATTTCTAATTAAATTCTCTATAAAAATCATCAGTTTGGATAGCTCCCAAAGGGTACCCCCCCCATGAGCCCATGTCCCCCATTAATAATAACCAGGGTTTGCCCCTTATTAATCAACCCCCTTTCTGATCCATGAGATTTTAACAATCAAATCATACCAATTCTAATGGAGTTCTATGAAGATCTAATTGACGTAAGCCATATCCAAAGTTTTATGGTTCAGAAGATGCTTATTATTAAGGGGGGCTCCACAAGGTCTACCCTGACCTTCTGGGGGGGGGTTATTAATCCGGTGTTGGCATTACTCAACATATTTCAACATCTAGACATATATATATTATATATACATACATTTAGTATACTAGCATAGCAATATATATATATATGTGTGTGTGTGTTTGAAGGTATGTATATACAAGTGAAAGGTATTTACCAAGCTCATGACGCCAACAAATATTTAGCACGTATAAATATACATATAAATGCATTTCAGGCAACATATAGATGAAAAAGAACAGCAATATACATCAAGATATTATATATTAACTGATCGTACTCCATTTATCATGTATTAACTAATGCTAATCAACCAAATATGACCTTCGGCCAGGTCGAAGAGGCCATGACCTGCTGGCTGCAAGGCCTCGAAGCCTTGCCCGGCTCCGCGTGTCCCAAGAAGCTCTTGGGCCTCCTACCCGGGCTGAAGCTTGGTGTCGTGCCAAATCGGAGAGCCCCAAGTCACCATGGTTGTTAATGACTTGGATGATTTAGGGTTGATTTTCCACTGGTTGATAATCACTCTCCCCAAACCATTTAGTAGGATTTTCCATCATAAACCATCCAGCTATTGTGGTACCTTCATGACTTAGGAAACCTCCATATGTTTTCGTCTTGTGTTACTTGTCGTTTTCACCTGCTGCCGGCCTCGCCGGAAGCCTATGGCAAGCTGGCCAGCTCTTTGGGCCCACCGGACCCGAACACTATGCCAGACAATCTGACCAGAATATGCATGTGATATATATATATATATACATATATACATACATATGATGTATTTAATATATACACATATATATATATACATGTAATGTATGTATGTATGTATGTATTTATGTATGTATGTATGTATGCATGCATGCATGTATGTATGTATGTATGTATGTAATGTATGTAATGTATGTAATGTATGTAATGTATGTAATGTATGTAATGTATGTATGTATGTATGTATGTATGTATGCATGCATGTATGTATGTATGGTATGGTATGGTAATGGAATGGAATGGAATGGAATGTAATGTAATGCAATGTAATGTATGTATGTATGTATGCGATAGAATGTCAAATATATACTTGGACAAGATGTCAGAAAGTATGTCAGAATATATGTGAGATATGATGTAAGATAGAATGTCATAATATATGCTATGTGCCAACTACTATGCTAGAATATCTGTCAAGATCTTTACTACGGTGGGGATCACGCGAAACAAAATAACTGAAGTATGTGTTTCTCGACTGAGAATGAGAAATAAATGGAAAGATAGTGAGACCATAGCTACCATTTTGAATTTGAATAAATAGACGTCCGTCAATGGTACTGTTCCATAAAGTGAAAACCATGGAAAAGCCATGGGCAATCCAAGATGATCCCGCACGTCAATGGGTATGTGACAATGCGTGGTTCCAAATAGGTTTGTTTAACCGAGCTGTAAGCACTTTGATGAGTTCCGCAATGTGACGTGTCTATTTCGATAAATTTGCAGCTGGTTTTTGGTGGCGAAGTATTGTGACCACTGCAGCCAGCCCATCCGTATGGGTCATAATTTTAAAGCCACGGGCGCCACCAGTACACCATGTGAGAGATTGTGCACCACCACGTTTCGCTGTATTCCTCTCCGGGTAATTTCCATATTAAAAAATATTAAAAGGCAATTTTGAGAGTTATATACAGTTTCATTTAAAAGTCGCAGATTAGTTTTATGTAAGTTATATTTACCCATTTATTTGTCTATATATTTTTTTAATATACTTATATGATACATATATGTATATATATATGTATATATATATATATATCTATGTATGTATATATATATATATGTGTGTGGACATATATCTATCTATATCTATCATACTATCTATATCTATGTCTATATCTATGGCTGTTTATCTACATGGAATATCCCCAGTTCTGGTTTATGTTCTGAGTTCAACGGAGCTTCCGCACCAAAGCCCAGGAAGCAAGAGGCTGAGGAGGAGGACCATCGCATCAGAGAACTGCGCGTGGCCTTGCTATCAAATTTGGCCTTGGGTTCTTTGAGACAGAAGCAATACCGTCCCGCCGTAGGTGCAGCCGGCAGTTCATGTGGCACATGGATGGGATGGGACATGATGGGCTGATGACATGTTGTGAAATTCATGTCTGAAAATGGGGAATTGCGACTCTGCATCTTGAATTTGAAAGGAAAAGGAACACATGCAGGTTTCTGATGCCAATACTGCCAACTTCGTGCAGGTTTCTGCGATGAAGTCTTGCTGGAGGAACCCGGAAATGTGAAAGCCTTGTACCGGAAAACTGAAGCGCTGGGCGTGCTGACTGCAATGAGAACTGTCAACTTCGGAGGAAACTCAAACAATATGACTGGACAAAAAAAAGAGTTTATCGAAGGAACTTTAGTTAGCAAACTTCCGAGCTACGGACGAGTGGTCACGGTCAGTTTTCCCATCATCAAACCAACCATATCATGTCAAGTATACAGGTGGGAAGTGAAACGGCAGATTACAGGAACAGTCCGGGAGCGTGTGAATTTGCGGGTGAAACGCTGGTATGAGTTTGTGCCCGTGGTTTTATTTCAGGTTTATTGCATGTGTTCCGTTTCACGCGTAAGTGGGTCGAAGACAATGATTTAACATGGTTTATCGCTGGTGTGATGTTGTGTGGGAGTTGATGCTTCCTACAGGGAAACAGGAGGAACCCCCCTAAGCGGACGCAGCTGGATGCACATTTCTCTTTCCGCGATATATGTGTTCCCTGCTCCATTTTGTTGTTGTGTCATGTTGTGCCGTAGAACTGAACATCAAGCGATCACATGTCAAAAAACTGGAAAATTATAAGCAACCGCCCCTAAACTGATTTATTTTGATGTTTTGATTGAACATCCCCAACGTATTTTCAGATCAATTGTTCCTTTTCCGGATGGTCAGCACATTACCAGGTGTCGTTATTCCATCCTGACCTAGTGTGGGTCAACCTTTGTCAGCTTAGCTGTCTTTAGGCAACAAGAGGCTGGAAAACCATGCCCAGCTAAGATATGCGTTCCATGTTTGATGGTTGAACTGCGAATGTTTGTTGTTACAAATGGGGGAATATGATGCTCCATTTGGAACTAAGTTTTCTTTGGGACCCATTGGGCCCTCAAACCATCATCTGGTCGTTTGGCGGGCGGTTGCAAGACTTGTTTTCCTTACGTTCCACGAATTTTGCACTGACAATCCCAACAAATTGGCTTTGAAATTTTCAGGATAAGTTGAAAACATCAATCAGCAACACGGACTATATGTGTATTTTGTGGTGAATTCCAATCCCTTAATTCATCATACTACTGAGGTTTACCTCCCTCATAACATTGCCCTCCGGTACTTTAACATAGCTATGGAAAATCGTTGGATGTTGTGGGAATGTCCTTCGGTATAATCTGGTGGGCCCACATCATCCATTTATAGATGGATGTTCCCAGTATAGACTATCCAGCTATTGGGTTACCATTGTTACCACCATTTTGATCCATTTTAGGAAACACCCTATCTGGTAATATCAAAGTAAAACATACATCATGTACGACCTGGACCTTTGCTCAGCCAGTTGCTAGGTGAGCTATGTGCGTGGCAAGAGGCAGAAGAGGCTGCAGCAAAGCTTCAGCAAAGTGGGGAGGAAACTGGGCCAAGCCCAAAGGGTGTGTACGCACCAAAACGATAGGAACGAAGTTTACAGGAACCAATGTTTTGGCATATGTTGGCAGAATTTTATGTTTCTATCTTTCTGTGGGTTGCTATACACTATACCGGCTATATACCCATGATTTTTGGTATTATATCATTCAAAGCCCATGACAATCCCATGTTTTGTTGGTTCTTCCCTCCACCAAGCGTAAATCAATGGATTGGTTTAAGGGAAAATTTACAGGAAAGCCCCATATTTAGTGGGAAAATCGATGGTTTCCTGTACGTTTCCCCTTAAACCACTGAGTAAAGAAACGGCTCTGATCACGGGCCAACCGCCCAGGAGGGAGCCAAGTTGGCACAGCAAAAGCGGGAGGAGTGGAAGCGCAAGCAACGCCAAGCCGATGGCCAGCAGAAGAAGATGTGGTCCGCCGCCCTGGAGAAGGAGCGACGGTTTTTCAAGCCTGGCGACGCGACGCTGGTGTGGTTTTTCTTGTTGTTCCAAAGTTCCAAATCTTAGAAACATGTAAGGATGATCCCGATATAATCAACAGCTCCCCCCAAAAAAAACAAATAGTATGAAATCAGTAATCCCTCAGAAAATCGGGAGGTATTCAAATTGGACAATCTTCCCAGAAAGTGCCATGAAAAGGTGGTGAAACCACCAGTTGGGGCAACCGTGCGCCATCCAGCTATGGATGATTTAAATCCTCATGATTGAAGCTCTCTGAGATTCATCACGCAACTGTATCACTGTATCACGCAAAAAACAAATCCATTTGGAAAATCACGCTTCAATAGTTTAAGTTGCCTAAAATCAGCGGTCCAAAAGGACAAGGGTCACAAACATGATTTAAAACCCGTTTTGATTTGGTCATTGATGCCGATCTTATTTCCATGTCGCACAATGTCGCACGCTCGAACGATGATTTAGCAACCAGTGATTTGACATCAATATCATCAACTAACATCAACTCATATCAGCTAACATCAGCTAACATAACATCAACTAACATCAAACAACATCAGCTAACACCAGCTAACATCAACTAGCATCAGCCAACATCAACTAACATCAACTATCATCAGCTAACATCAACTAACATCAAATAACATCAGCTAACATCAACTAACATCGTCTAGCATCAGCTAACATCAGCTAACATCATCTAACACCAGTTATCATCAACTAGCATTAACTAACATCAGCCAACATCAGCTAACATCAGCCAACATCAACTGACATTAGCTAACATCAACTAACATCAGCTAACATCAACTAACATCAAAAAACATCAGCTAACATCAACTAACATCAGCTAGCATCATCTAACATCAACTAGCATCAGCCAACATCAACTATATAACATCAACTATCATCAGCTAACATCAACTAACATCAAAAAACATCAGCTAACATCAACTAACATCAGCTAACATCAAATAACATCAGCTAACATCAACTAGCATCAGCCAACATCAACTAACATCAGCTAACATCATCTTACATCAGCTAACACCAACTAGCATCAGCCAACATCAACTAACAGCAACTAACATCAGCTAACATCAACTATATAACATCAACTATCATCAGCTAACATCAAATAACATCAGCTAACATCAAATAACATCAGCTAACATCAACTAACATCAGCTAACATCAGCTAACATCAGCTAACATCAATTAACATCAAATAACATCAGCTAACACCAAATAACATCAACTAACATCAACTAACATCAGCTAACATCAACTAACATCCACTAACATCAGCGAACATCAGCTAACATCAGCTAACATTAGCTAACATCAACTAACATCAGCTAACATCAACTAACATCAAATAAAATCAGCTAACACCAAATAACATCAGCTAACAACAAATAACACCAGCTAACATCAACTAACATCAGCTAACATCAGATAACACCAAATAACATCAACCAACATCAACTAACATCAGCTAGCATCAGCTAACATCAACTAACATCAGCTAGCATCAGCTAACATCAGCTAACATCAACTAGCATCAGCCAACATCAACTAACATCAACTACCATCAGCTAACATCAAATAACACCAGCTAACATCAACTATATAACATCAACTATCTTCAGCTAACATCATCTAACACCAGCTAACATCAACTAGCATCAGCCAACATCAACTATATAACATCAACTATCATCAGCTAACATCAACTAACATCAAAAAACATCAGCTAACATCAACTAACATCAGCTAACATCATCTAACATCAGCTAACATCAACTAGCATCAGCCAACATCAACTATATAACATCAACTATCATCAGCTAACATCAACTAACATCAAAAACATCAGCTAACATCAACTAACATCATCTAAAATCAGCTAACATCAGCTAACATCATCTAACATCAGCTAACATCAACTAGCATCAGCCAACATCAACTATATAACATCAACTATCATCAGCTAACATCAACTAACATCAAAAGACATCAGCTAACATCAACTAACATCAGCTAACATCAAATAACATCAGCTAACATCAACTAGCATCAGCCAACATCAACTAACATCAGCTAACATCATCTTACATCAGCTAACACCAACTAGCATCAGCCAACATCAACTATATAACATCAACTATCATCAGCTAACATCAACTAACATCAAAAAACATCAGCTAACATCAACTAACATCAGCTAGCATCATCTAACATCAGCTAACATCAACTAGCATCAGCCAACATCAACTATATAACATCAACTATCATCAGCTAACATCAACTAACATCAACTAACATCAAATAACATCAGCTAACATCAACTAACATCAGCTAACATCAGCTAACATCAGCATCAAATAACATCAAACTCAACTAACATCAGCTAACATCAACTAACATCAACTAACATCAGCTAACATCAGCTAACATCAGCTAACATCAACTAGCATCAGCCAACATCAACTATATAACATCAACTATCATCAGCTAACATCAACTAACATCAAAAAACATCAGCTAACATCAACTAACATCAGCTAACATCAAATAAAATCAGCTAACATCAGCTAGCATCAGCCAACATCAACTATATAACATCAATTATCATCAGCTAACATCAACTAACATCAAAAAACATCAGCTAACATCAACTAACATCAGCTAACATCAGCTAACATCATCTAACATCAGCTAACATCAACTAGCATCAGCCAACACCAACTATATAACATCAACTATCATCAGCTAACATCAACTAACATCAAAAAAACATCAGCTAACATCAACTAACATCAGCTAACATCATCTAACATCAGCTAACACCAACTAGCATCAGCCAACATCAACTATATAACATCAACTATCATCAGCTAACATCAACTAACATCAAAAAACATCAGCTAACATCAACTAACATCAGCTAACAGCAACTAACATCAACTAACATCAACTATCATCAACTAACATCAGCTAGCATCGGCTAACATCAGCTAACATCAACTAGCATCAGCCAACATCAACTAACATCAGCTAACATCATCTAACATCAGCTAACATCAACTAGCATCAGCCAACATCAACTATATAACATCAACTATCATCAGCTAACATCAACTAACATCCAAAAACATCAGCTAACATCAACTAACATCAGCTAACATCATCTAACATCAGCTAGCATCAGCTAACATCAGCTAACATCAACTAGCATCAGCCAACATCAACTAACATCAAAAAACATCAGCTAACATCAACTAACATCAGCTAGCATCAGCTAACATCCATGATTACAATTACAATGGTTTAAAGCACCCCAATAGCATCGTCAAACCGCCACAGCCTTCCAGGAGAACGCCAAACCCAAGGAGTCCAAGGCCGACGACGTCAATGTCGCGGTGCCAAACGGCGCCAAGAATGGGGCCAAAGAGGTAGCCATGGAGGTGCCGGCCAAAGAGGTTGAGGTTTCAAGGATTTTTTTGAGCTGGAAACCGTATGTTTCTATTTTTCAGAGGGGTTGAAACATGTTGAAACCACCAACCAGATAGTATGGTTAGTATGTTTCTGTTTTTGGTTCATATGTGTTCCGATATATTTTGGACATAAATTTCTTGGAACTTCCGGTTTGGGTGACAGTTGTTCCGAAAACAAAACCCAACCAATGGAAATAGGAATGGGACTAGAAACACCAATAGCAATGAAGATACGAACTACTATATTTACGTTTATACAGTATGTCTGACCCAAAACAAACAAAAGGATAGCAGTAGCTTCAAGCAGTTTCCCAAAAAATGACAACTTGAACCAAGTCGAAAGGTGTTCTCAATGATCGTTTGCTGGTACTAAGAACTTGTCCTTTAAACATAGGACCTGGCCCCTGTGCTTGTTCAGTTTGCATTCTGCAGCAGCTGCATGAGGCTTGGAAACCACCCAAAATTGAAGTGATGAGCACCTTCGATTTGCGCAAGAAGACCATTCGCTGGGAAGAAGAGGAGGACTGCAGATCTCAGGCTTTCCAAAGCCTGGTGCCGTCTCCCTGGCTGGCCCATTGGCCGGGAGAGAGGTTGCCAGGGAACCTGCATGTCTGACGGTCAAGAAACAAGGGTTTGCGTTATGTTTTTCCCCAACTAATATTTACATATCTGTGATGTTTTGGATGTGAAAGGGGAATCAAGGATACAATCTATATATTAAATATTGCAAGTTTCAGAGTTTGCAAGTCACTCACCTGGTCCTGAAGTTCCGGATGGAATATGAACATGGATGAAAGCGGGGTGAAATTGCCCCGGATTCACAGCCACCCCCACACCCCTGTGGTTCACAAGCATGGCAATGAACAAGCCAGTACTTGTCGAAGATGGTTAGGTTCAAAGTGAGGGAAAAACCAATTCCATTTGCCACCCATTACTTGTACCTTGTTTCTTTCCTGGGTGAATCTGGGCTATAAACCAGCAAAGCAGCCGGGAAAGCATGGGAAAAAGGGTTGTTGCTTATAAGGTCACGATTGAATTTCGCTCTAGAGCCTATATAATACAAAGCTGAAGATGCTCTTTGATCTCTTTGATGACAGGACTTCTGTGACAAGGTTTGGAAAAATTCCATTGGTCGCAAAGAAGCCGCTTTCTTCCAGAAACGAGCGCTGCCCCTGTCCTTGCTGGCAGCTTCCGCCCTGTCAGACCTGGATGTGTTGAAGACATCGGAGCTCATCGTGCATTGCTTTCTAGATGGCAACATCGCGCCATTTTCAGATCCGCACGATTGGAGTACTTTGGCGATCCATTTCTGGGTATTTTGTTTATTGTATTTGATGGGATTTCAGGTGATTTGGCCAACCAAAAATTGCAATTTAATGGATTTTACTGGAATATAATTCTATCTGGCGGCTAAGAGGCAGCTAGGAAGCTATGGTTGTATCCATAGCCTCCTTGCCAGTCGGAGCGGAGAGTTTCCCAAACACATTTTCTAGTTGGACGTTGGACCTGCAGGGGTACAAGCGGGATGTATTATGATGCATTACTGATGTATTTATTGTGATGTAATACTGATTATAATACTGCATGGATTATAATAATCATAATATTATTATGTAATACTGCATCTGATTATTATAATAATTATTGTGACGTATTATGATGGATTCTGCATTTTGGCATGGTATCTTACTCTATCTAACTGATGTATGTTGTGTGGCAGATAGTCGCGCCGAAGATCCCAACATTGGCACCCAGTTATCGACCTTGGGTGCACATGTTTTCAGTACAACTTCACGTGGCGATGTGTCGTTCCATGGCTTGGGACTGGGGATGGGGGGTAACTATATCCCAATCCATGGCCTGAATTCTGGCGTGAATTCTTCTTATTTATCCATGATGAATGTATATGAATGTCAGATGCATGTAGGAAGCACACACTTGACATGGATTTTATGGATTGCCCAGTTGCCCACCAATGTTTCAGGCATTTTCCTTAAGAGATGTCCTCAAGTGCGAAACATGTTGGTGGCCGCTTGGCAGATGGGGCTTTGCAGGTGAGGTCAGAAGATACGGGGAGCCAAAATTTGTGGGGTTTTCCCCAGACCCCAAGTTTATTTTATTTTTTCTGAAAGGCGAAGAAAATTCCAAACACGTTCGATTCTTGCTTTTAAGACCCGCTTCTTCTGAATCACAGAAATACATGGGTTGGGGATGGTTGCAGTTGTTGGTTCTTTCGAACCGTTCAACTTGAATCTCAAGTGCTTGGGAGTAATTTCCTTCAACACCCCCAGTGTTTCAGGGGTTCCCAAGTATTTCTAGTCCTTCCACCTGAGCATTGAAACATGGTGAAACACCGAGACACATCACGTTTTGGCGATTGGATGCAAATGGTCACGTAATCTTGTTCCTCCCAGGAATATGTTTAATTTATATACCCATAGGATCCATGTATGGTATATTTACCTACATTGGGATTATTTTAAATTACTTTAGGGGTCAATGTAGGTAAATATTCCATACATGGATCCTCTGGGATATATTACGCATCCACTCCGTGAGAAAAGAGTCGTTGGCCACGAATGTGCTTTGCACCATCCCCTCAACACATGGGCATCGCTCCAGCCATTCGCCAATCATCCCCAAGTCGCAGATTCGCAGAATGTTTCCCGTTGAAATCCTCCAGTTCTAGTGGATTTCCCGGCCATGTTGGATTGAGGGTAACACTGCAGGTCTACATTGATATTGGTGCCATTGGCGCTGACAAAGATGGTCAACCCCCAGCTTCCTATGGCACCTTGCTGCGTCCTACCGAAGAGGGTCGTGCTGGTGACCGCGTGGCACGATCTGCGCGCTTCATGGGGAGCTACAAGGAGTTCAAAGCGCATTGCCGCGATCTTCCGGGACTGGTCAAGGCACATGTGGCCTTGTGGGCTGATGCTCCTGGGCCAGCGGTGTATGGCAAAGCCTGTCCCCTAAGACTCTAAGATTGTAAAGTGTGTAAAAAAAGCAGCACCACCCAAAAAAGAAGCTGGTATATATAAAATTATATAAAGATGTCTAGATTGACTACTGAACGGATTCATGTTTGACGGGCACGTGGAGTGTAAAAAGACATTAAGACCAGGGTGCAGGAGTAATCTGCATTGGATGTGGGGGGTCAAGAGATCACGCTGCTAAACCCAACGGTCGTAACGGTTTTTGTGTTGCAGGTTCGGGGTATCCAAGTTTGACCCCATGGCATCCCATGGCCCATGCCTATATAGAGTAGAGGTTTGGAAATCCTTAGATCTTGGCCCAGGCAGGATTGATCAGGATTGTTTTCATGGCTTGATCATATGGTGGGTATTTGATGGTACCCATCCTTCGCAGTTATTTTCCAGTGATACGTTATGATACGTTCACGTTGCAAAAGGTTAAATGTCTGTGAAATTCCGTGAGTGTGCAGCTGATTTTCCAAGAACAATTGCCATGGCTTTCTTCGGCGCCCAGCCGCCCAGCCTTGCGGGTTTCGGCACTGAGGTTCCCCTCTATGGATTTCACGATGATGACTTTTCAACCCGCCTGCAGGCGGCTGCATTGCTTGGCCGAATGCTAACCCTGGATGACTTAAACCTACCAGGTTGTCATTGGATGCTAACATTGGATGACTTAAACCCTAGATTTTTAGGGATTTGTCACTGATTATTGTGTGGCTAACCCCCCAATAAATCAACGGAGGGTCATTAGTCCAAGGTTTATTATTCTAGGGTCTTTGTAAAAGCCCACAGACTTTGATTTAACGAACTTTGTTGATTATAATGATCATATATTAATATATATATATATATATTATATACACACAATGATTATTGCTATTACTATTCTGTATTTATGTATGTGTTTCTTTATTTTCTATATTTATTGATTTATTTGTTATTATTGTTATTATACACATATATATATATATGGTCACCCTCCCCCCTACGACCCCCCAATGTGTCATTTGTAGTGTTATTTATAGCATAAAATGCGTATTTTTAGTATTCCATTTTTGTCTTCTTCGTATATAGTCATAACAATACAATATCTTAAGGCACTTTGGGGAAGGCCCTATAGAAACACAATTGACCGCCGACCCAAAATCAAAAAAACATCGGGAAAACAAACAAAAAACAAAAAAAAAAAACAATATTTTCCGACTCCTCTGGGGTCACTCCATGAAAAAAACAAAAAAACCTTGAGAAAACCAAAAAAAACAAAAAAAAAACAATATTTTCAGACTCTTCTGGGGTCACTCCATGAAAAAACCAAAAAAACCTTGAGAAAACCAAAAAAAACAAAAAAAACAATATTTTCAGACTCTTCTGGGGTCACTCCATGAAAAAACCAAAAAAACCTTGAGAAAACCAAAAAAAAAAAACAATATTTTCAGACTCTTCTGGGGTCACTCCATGAAAAAACCAAAAAAACCTTGAGAAAACAAAAAAAAAACATCCTCGATGAAATATAGGGGGAGCAGCTGTGCACCGGTTTTGTAGGTATGAAATATGGGGTCACAGGTCCCCTGGCTATAAAAAGGTATGCCCAACCCAAAAAGCAGCTCTACAAAATGATGCTGCAGGTGCCCCACACATACCCAGGTGGAGCCTACAAAAAGCCACTCGCATTTTTGTTCTTAATGCTGAAACCAGATGCATGTACGACTAAAATAAGCCCAAGGCTTTTTGTAGTCTCAAACAGTTTGGTCCGGGCACAACAGGATTCCTTACAGATTAAACTTAAGCCATGACAAAATACCAAATCCAAGAAAAGGCAGCAAGCGCACTCAAATAGCCAAAAGGATGGATTGTGACCATGATTCATTCCTCCTTCCATGAATGTACAGGGCTCAAACACCCTGTAATCTCACAAGGAGAACACTTGGAGTCAAACCCCCAAGCGCATTCTTGGATGATGGAACTACTCTCAGTCTCAACCCAGGGAAGATGAAATCTCAGGGCAAAAAAAAAAATACGTAACCAGTTCAAGAACACACATAAAGGGAAGCAAGAGCTATCAAATGAATCGTGTAAGAGAAAGGAAGCGCGCACGGCAAACTCAGTGTTCCAGAAAAATGGGGCAGATTGCCTGGACGCTAATATCACGTGACCAAAACATACCATTGGGCTTTGAAGGGGATGGCGCTTCTATGTGTTTGCCCGGTTCAATGCACGCTACAAAATGATGAGGCCGCCTCACTTCACTACAAAATGCATGCTGTGCTCAACTATTGCATGAAGTTCCAACGACCCTCACGTAAGCATGGTATCTTATAATATGCGTGTCAATTAGTGTGACATCGTGTCATCTAGTGTCAGTTAGTGGTGTCAATGCGTATCGATTAGCTTTATTTAGTGGCAAGTAGTGCAATTTAGTGTCAATTAGTGTCATTTAGTGTCCAATTAGTGTCAATGAGTGTCATTTTGTGTTCATTAGGGTCAATTAGGATCATTTAATTGTGTGCAATAATCAACAAAAAGCAACCAAAAAACAACAAATGAAGAGTTCCCACAAAAAAGGCAGCTCAAGGCAGCCAATTGTCTATACCAAAAAAGCAGGGCAAGCAATACACAACGAAAGCACTTACTAGAAATGGTCCGGGCACAACAGGATTCCTTACAGACAAAATTTCAGTCGTTACAAAGTACCAAAGTCTGCCCATCCAATTACTGCGCGCTACAAAATGATGAGGCCGCCTCACTTCACTACAAAATGCATGCTGTGCTCAACTATTGCATGAAGTTCCAACGACCCTCACGTAAGCATGGTATCTAATATGCGTGTCAATTAGTGTGACATTGTGTCATCTTGTGTCAATTAGTGGTGTCAATTCGTATCGATTAGCTCTATTTAGTGGCAAGTAGTGCAATTGAGTGTCAATTAGTGTCATTTAGTGTCCAATTAGTGTCAATGAGTGTCATTTAGTGTTCATTAGGGTCAATTAGGATCATTATGGATCATTTAATTGTGTGCAATAATAAACAAAAAGCAACCAAAAAACAACAAATGAAGAGTTCCACAAAAAAGGCAGCTCAAGGCAGCTAATTGTCTGTACCAAAAAAGCAGGGCAAGCAATACACAACGAAAGCACTTACTAGAAATGGTCCGGGCACAACAGGATTCCTTACAGACAAAATTTCAGTCGTTACAAAGTACCAAAGTCTGCCCATCCAATTACTGCGCGCTACAAAATGATGAGGCCACCTCACTTCACTACAAAATGCATGCTGTGCTCAACTATTGCATGAAGTTCCAACGACCCTCACGTAAGCATGGTATCTAATATGCGTGTCAATTAGTGTGACATTGTGTCATCTAGTGTTAATTAGTGGTGTCAATTCGTATCGATTAGCTCTATTTAGTGGCAAGTAGTGCAATTTAGTGTCAATTAGTGACATTTAGTGTCCATTAGTGTCAATTAGTGCAATTTCACTCAGCGTAATGATGAGCAAACAGCAACCAAAAACAGCAAAGGAAGAGTTCCGATAAAATTCAGCTCAAGGCAGCTAATTGTCTGTACCAAAAAAGCAAGGCAAGCAATACACAACGAAAGCACTTACTAGAAATGGTCCGGGCACAACAGGATTCCTTACAGATTAAACTTAAGCCATGACAAAATACCAAATCCAAGAAAAGGCAGCAAGCACACCCAAATAGCCAAAAGGATGGATTGTGACCATGATTCATTCCTCCTTCCATGAATGTACAGGGCTCAAACACCCTGTAATCTCACAAGGAGAACACTTGGAGTCAAACCCCCAAGCGCATTCTTGGATGATGGAACTACTCTCAGTCTCAACCCAGGGAAGATGAAATCTCAGGGCAAAAAAAATGATACGTAACCAGTTCAAGAACACACATAAAGGGAAGCAAGAGCTATCAAATGAATCGTGTAAGAGAAAGGAAGCGCGCACGGCAAACTCAGTGTTCCAGAAAAATGGGGCAGATTGCCTGGACGCTAATATCACGTGACCAAAACATACCATTGGGCTTTGAAGGGGATGGCGCTTCTATGTGCGTGCCCGGTTCAATGCACGCTACAAAATGATGAGGCCGCCTCACTTCACTACAAAATGCATGCTGTGCTCAACTATTGCATGAAGTTCCAACGACCCTCACGTAAGCATGGTATCTAATATGCGTGTCAATTAGTGTGACATTGTGTCATCTAGTGTCAATTAGTGGTGTCAATTCGTATCGATTAGCTCTATTTAGTGGCAAGTAGTGCAATTTAGTGTCAATTAGTGACATTTAGTGTCCATTAGTGTCAATTAGTGCAATTTCATTCAGCATAAAAAACGCCACTGCTACAAAATGAAAATCCAAGTGTTTACTACAAACTGCTATTTCGATTTTTTTGATTGGATCTTATTGCCTTACAAAACTCGACTGCTACGATTTGCTTCTGCACGACGTCACAGGGGACTACAAAATCATAGGGTTCAGAGTGTTTATAGTGGGCCCCAAGGCCTAGCATTCTGGAGTGGAAATTCTGACCGGGATGATATATACATAGTCTACAAAATGCATTCCTTGATTCTCTTGGGCTGCGTTGTAAATTGCATGATTCACCCACAATGAGACTACAAAATGCAGTCAGCAATTTATGACCTGATGTAATATGACTACAAAAAGCTTGTTGTATTTGCCAAACAGGGGGCCTACAAAATGCTTAGGGTAACTTTATTACAAAAAGGGGGGCCCAAGACCAATTTCAGCTACAAAAACCTCTCCCCAGACCATTTTATACCGTACACGTGTTCTCCCTTTTTGTAGTGGAAATACCATCGGGGATAAAAAAACAATATTTAGAAACTATCTCGAGGGCCCCCCCCCAAAGAATTGCTAAATATTGTTTTTTTTTGTTTTTTTGGTTTTCTCAAGGTTTTTTTGGTTTTTTCATGGAGTGACCCCAGAGTCTGAAAATATTGTTTTTTTTGTTTTTTTTGGTTTTCTCAAGGTTTTTTTGGTTTTTTCATGGAGTGACCCCAGAAGATTATAAGAATATGAAAACTCATAATTTCTCCAATATTTCCTAAATGCAAACACTGTCTGTCACTCATGCATCTGCCAATCCGTAACTGAACTGTTTCAAATCCAAACTACTGCCTTGACCTGTCTGTCATTCATGCATCTGTCCAGCTTCAACTCAGCCATTTCAATTCCAAACTGCTTCCTGGATCATCGCATTTGCTTCTTCGTTTTTTTTTTAATTGTTTCATGGAGTGACCCCAGAAGATTATAAGAATATGAAAACTCATAATTTCTCCAATATTTCTTAAATGCAAACACTGTCTGTCACTCATGCATCTGCCAATCCGTAACTGAACTGTTTCAAATCCAAACTACTGCCTTGACCTGTCTGTCATTCATGCATCTGTCCAGCTTCAACTCAGCCATTTCAATTCCAAACTGCTTCCTGGATCATCGCATTTGCTTCTTCGTTTTTTTTTCAATTTTTTCATGGAGTGACCCCAGAAGATTATAAGAATATGAAAACTCATAATTTCTCCAATATTTCCTAAATGCAAACACTGTCTGTCACTCATGCATCTGCCAATCCGTAACTGAACTGTTTCAAATCCAAACTACTGCCTTGACCTGTCTGTCATTCATGCATCTGTCCAGCTTCAACTCAGCCATTTCAATTCCAAACTGCTTCCTGGATCATCGCATTTGCTTCTTCGACATGGCTAACGTGGACGTCAATTTCGTGGAAAGCTTTAGGCATCAACTTGGTGAAACAAATGCAATGTAAAATATACTAGTCTTTCAAAATTTTAAAAAAAATGTTAGTAGGAAAGTCTCAAGCGCAAAAATTTTCCTATTAGCGATTGGTGCGTAGAGGCAGTTTTCACAGCAGCATAAGACCTCAGCTTAGCAAAAGTGATGCTGCTGCGGCAGGGGCGACTCGTTGGTGACTTCAACGTGGTTCTGTGCAGACACAAGTCAAGCATAGTGAAGCAGATGGCGGGTTGAGGGGGGTCGTTGGGGGGGGGCTGAGCTATATGGTCACCCCCCCCTACGACCCCCCAATGTGTCATTTGTAGTGTTATTTATAGCATAAAATGCGTATTTTTAGTATTCCATTTTTTATATATATATATATATATGTGATTATATATATATTTATATATATGTGTGTGTCTCTGTATAAAATCCCCTGTTTGGTGCTTCATTCCCATGCTCCCCAGCTGGGAAATCCCCAGCTCGTGGGAAATCTTCAGCTCGCAGGCGCTGAACGAGTTACGTTCGGAGGGGATTCCCTGCGTCTTCACCTTCGGTGGCGAAGTTCAGGAACCCCAAGCGCCACCGATGCCGCAGAGCCCTGGCCATGGCCCGGATGGCCTTCTGGGACGATCCCATGGTGGTTACCCAGTGATAAGTTGGAGGAATCTCCGTTAGATATGACATGATATAACGCCCATAAACCTCTATAAACCTGGATAATATTGGACTTATAAATCAACTTAAGGCTAAGTGTGGGGTACCACCCTGTGGGTGAATGGCTGAGGTCAGACAAGACCCTCAGCTGACAGGTGCGAAATGAAATACAAAAACAATGTGACCATGGGAACATAGGTGCCCCATTCTGGGTCATTGGCTCCAAGGAAGCTGGATCACTTTGCCAAGGAGTCCATCGTGATCCGGTGGCACTGTTGGGAGGGATATGATTGAGCACACTCTTGGGCAAGCCTACATGTTTTTGGGTTTGCTGAAGGTGATTTCCCAATATTTCCCGCAATGAAATCTCAAAAATTACTGATACAGCATGGATGTTTCTCAATCATGTTGCTATTTGAGGTTTTTTGTGGAGCACCTGAGTCAAATCCAGGTGATTGTTATCGGGGGTTGTCAGGGCTTTGACCTTGGACCTCCCAGTGATCTTTTGGAGTCGTCATGTTCCTTTCGCTTTTTCCCAGCACTTTAGCATATTCTGATATATTCTGGCAAGCACATTTGGATCCTTGACATTCAAAGCGCATGGCCTCAAATCAATGTATCCTGCTGGAGGTTTACAACCAAGTTCCCGAGGCCATCCTTTCACTGGCCCTGGGTTTCCGCAAGTTGGCCCCCTGGCACTGGAATCGCTTCATCGTGCCCTTGGAACGCGGCCCGCAGGGCATCCTGGCCGGGCACGCCGTGTTGGGCGTGCAGAAGCCCGGCGCCCCCGGGGTCATCACTCCCAAGGCGGTGCGGGAGGCGTTGAAACGTCGCAAGATCGAGGCCTTAACGGCCTTCAAACTGCCACAACTGGGAGGGCGGCAGGAACAAAGGAAGTTCCTGGAGATGAGGGATAAGCAACTGGGCTTGTTGCATTTGTTTGGCAGGTTTGGCTGTGTGGCTTGTATATTGTCACGTTTTTTTTAAATGTGTTTTTGGTGTGTGTGTGTGTGCGCATGTTTTTCCTATGAATGGAAGATAATGAAACCATGATGAACCTTGGAGTGTGGCGAATGTTCGTGGGATGGATTGGAAGCCAGATGAGGCAATGGCAAGCGTTTTGCCAACACCTTCAGATGCAAGGAAGGGTGCCCGCCATGGGCCCTAACTGCGATCAAGAAGAGAAGAGGCGGCAGATGATGGAATGGCAGCAATTTGTTGGAGAGCCTTTGAGAGCCTGACTGGCCCTCACTCCTGCAGAATAAAGGGTGCGAACGGGGTTGGCAGGGTGCTACAACAGTGGTTCCGAGCGGGCATGTCATATGTGAAAAGGTCCTGTAGTTTGGAATCAGGATTTGCACAGTCTAATTTAGATATATTTAGATGGCTATGGAATGCTATGGATATGCATAGCGAGCTAGTGCGAATCACCAGTTTGCCATGTCGGATTGTGGACAAGATCTCCGTCCGGAATCGTTGAGGCCGAAAATTCGGAGACGCACTGCACCTTTTTCCTGGACCAACTGCATGAGCTTTATCTTCAGCTTTTGGATCAGGCTGGGATGGCTGGGCCGGAGAAGGCCTGAACATTCCTGGCTCAATGTTGGGGATCGGTTGTGGATGCCGATGAGTGATTCATTCTTCAACCTTGTTCGGTGTTCCTGAAACATCATGGGATTCTAAGAAACTGGTGTCAAACCTGCCAAGAGAGATCTGGAGTTACAAAGCGCCCCGAAAATCAAAACACATCCCATAGACAAAGAGCTGATTCGTGTTTTTTTTTTGGGGGGGGGGCTACATCCAGGTAGGCATGTTACATCCTGGTGTAATTTTTCGGACATGTCAGGCCGCGACCATTTGTTTCCTGGGCCCTGCGGAGCACTATGAGGATGGCGTGCCTGTGGGCTGGCTGTGCACATGCTGTCCAGAGGAAGAACACAATATGTACAGTAGATGTACACTCCGGTTGTCCCAAGCCCCTAAGCCTTAAGCGGATTGCAAAGCAGATATATTGAGTAATTAAAACATGTCAAACATGTATATATAGACATCATAAAAACAATCACAGCATGCTTTAGATATTGAAGCACATCATCATAGATACGTGCCGGCATGCACATCTATTTATCATTCTTAACAACAAAAAAAAGTTCCACGTCCACGTCGCAGATCTGCTTCGGTCTTCAGGAGCTCATGGCGTCTCACGGAGATTTTTCCATCGAGCTCCTCAAGAAGCATCGTGAGAGAATTCAAGGGCACACAGGCCTGAGGGATCTCCAGTGCTATTCTCCAGAAATCCAGGGATCTATATAAATGGCTTCATGTGTCGGCCAGTTTTGGAAATTTGATGTTTCCCTGGTCACTGGTTATGGCTAGCCATGGAAAAGTAATTGAAAACCAGTCGGCAACCTTCTTCGCCCTAGAATTGGGAGGGAAAAAATGCGGGACCCCCCTATAGTATCCTACAATTCTTGGATACGGATAAACAGTCAATAGTGTACCAAGTTTCCCATAACTGTTCCTCAAACTGAAACATACCACTGATTCTGGTATTTATACGTATTATCGACCCAAGTTTCTCATAGTTTTTCCCTAAACTGCAACACAACCACTGATGGGTATTTTTTACCCTTACCCTCTGGTTATTTAACATAGCCATGGAAAATGGCCCATTTATAGATGGTTTACCTATTAAAAAATGGTGATTTTCCATGGCTATGTTAAATTACCAGAGGGTAAGTTTCCCATGTGTTTTTTCCCATCATTTTCCATTCGCCCAAGAGGCGAAGTGTTCTGGAGCACCGATTGGGGTCGATTGCTGGACGCCTCGTTGCGACAAGGCGATCCTGAACGCTTCAAGACCTTAGGTGCGGCCCATGGCGGGGAAGATGTTTGTTGGGTATCCAAGAGCCTTGAAGCCTGCAAATTTATAAGGTTGCTATCTTTTCCTTGAACGGTAGTATTTTTTTTGGACAGGGGAGACCTTTGAGATATTTTGAGATGTAATTTTATCACAGCAGCTGCACCACAATCAGGTCATGACATGCATCACATGATGACACAGAACGAAGAGGTCCTCATTTTTTCTCAGAGAAAGCCTAGGGTTCACCAAAGAGATTGGGACGTTCAGGTGACATCGTAATGTCTTCATACCACAATGCCATGGTCCCTACAGTGATAAGCCAGTTCATGCTGGGCCGATCTCTCAGTTGAATAATGGATGAACACTATTTGTCGATTTAGCCTGTGATCAAATTGATTACAAGATATCAAACACGTTAAACAAAAAAGCATCAACAACACAATGGGCTGAGAGACAATGTGCCGAGTATGCTCAGCTGACCTTAGCTACCATGGGTTTTGCTTACAGGGATCAGAGAAGTAAACCATAGTAAACCTTTAGGAAAGATTAAAGATACACAGGGCGTGACATGGCTGGCCTTCAGCCTTCATCCTTTGGCCACAGCAAAAAAAACATACTGGGAGCTTCAGATTTTTCACCTGCCAGTTGGCAATGGAACTATTGCTGTTGTAGTGGCTGGAGAATTCTGTCCTGCTAAAAGGTGCCTGGACCATTTTCTACATAGAGAGAGGCAGCACCTGCAGCTTGCCTTCGAAGTGTCACTATGTGTCACTGTGGTTAGATGTTTGAGCCGTATTTCAGGCGCTCAACATGTGGAATACATGTGGTATGTGACCCTATGTGACCCTGAAGCTGAGGTAAAATGCGCAGATACTACTCGCAGTTCGCAGCCTAGTTCGAGCTGTCGGGACTTCCTGAGTTTCTTCGAACATCTTCGAACAGTCACAATTTTCCAGTAGGGAAATGGAAGGAAGTTGTTGGATGAGTACAATAAGTGAATGTTTTTTCCTAAAAGATAGAAAACTAACTTACAGTAATTGTTGGTGGGATTGTTGTTCTTCTGTCTTTATCAGGGCTTTTTTGTGAATTCATCCAATCTGTAATCCCCTGACACACCAATGCTATCACGTCCTGGCCACTGAGCATCCCATCCAACTTGGCCTGGGAATTCCCTGACATAGGGCCTGACAGGATGGGGCCCCCGTTCGATAGCGTTCAGTTGCCTCATTATTGTGGCTGAAATCTATGGTTTATGGTAGATATAACAAACTATATAGTTAATGGGGGTTATAACTGGCGTTAACCAAAGATTATTCCAGTTTATAAGCCATTATATCCGCATTATAATACTAGGGGTTAACTAACTAGTTATATCTATGGTTTATACCAATTTATGGTTTATAAACCAACTTATAACTGGCGGTAGCGACCCAAGAAAATCGCTGACCTCTCAGGGCTGCCGCCGAGAGTCGTCTCATGAAAATGCGCAGCGCCGCCATCCTGTTGTATCCCGCGCCTGTGGCTTGGCATTCAGCTGAATCCACTGGTCCTGAATTTCTACTGTATATTCTATAGTATGAATATAAATATATATATATTTACATAGTGTAAGTATATTATAAAGTATTATATATATACACTATACATATAGTGTATATATAAAGTGTGCACATATATACACACATATATACATATATATATATGTATATCAATATAATATATTCAATATTCACATGGTGGTCCCGAAGGACTTTGGGGTAAAAACTGGTACAGCGTTGTGAACTTGTGTTCAGGTGTCTTTGGTTTGTGGGTTGTTATATAGTTGTTTTGAGATTGTTCTCGGCCTATTTCTTGTTGTGATGCTGTTGTTCTTGTCCTGGTTATTTTTATGTTTCTTGTTGTTGTTATTGTTGTTATTGTTGCTGTTGTTGTTGTTGTCGCTGCCGCTGTCAGTGTCGCTGTTGTTATTATGATTGTTATCATTGTTATTAGTGTTATTACCTATATATTACTGTATATTATTGTTATATTTGTTATTACGTAAATATACATATATTGTTGTTATTATGCTGTTATTAAATATTGTTGTTATTACTATTGTTGTTGCCACACTTTGTGTTCCCAGACCTTGATTTTTGATCAATTTCCGTTTTGGCAGCTTGAATCTATTGTTGAAGACCATTCGCCTTCAAGTCGCCTTCCATAAATGCTTAATAATTCCATCACGGCATGCCAAAGCTTTCCAAGGAGTACCGAAAGAAACCCAACTGGGATGAGTCGGACTACAAAGGTCAAGCAGGGCCACTCTTTGAGGCTTCGTCCTTGGATTGGCTTCCATAAATGGAGGATCCCCAATAGCTGGTTGGTTTATAATCAATTTTTTGGTCTATAAATGGGCAATTTAGGGGTACCATGACTTCGGAAACCTCCATGACCCTGACGTCACTGGAATGGTGGTAGGGGGAGGTCATCGGCAAATGGCCTAGGGGTGGAGGCCTTGTTTCAGCTATGTCAATCTATGTCAGCCATTTTTATCTGGTCGGTGGTTTGGAACATGTTTTATTTTCCATGGTATATGGGATAATACTCCCCATTGACTTATATTTTTCAGAGGGGTTGAAACCACCAACCAGTTCTGTTAGTGAAGTGTTATAATTCAGGCATAATCATGTAGGAGTTACTCTGAGACAACATACTGATCAATCACCCACCTATGCAGAGCTCTGCGCGTGATGGACTTACCCCTGATCACACCAAAGGTAATCGAAACACCAGGGGGATGTTTGCTTGGTTGATTCCTCTGTATGAGAATTCCATAGAATTTCCATTGCTATTGGCGTAGATGTAATCTCATCACCTACTCATAGGATTATCATGGATTATTGGTATTACCTGCTGATAGATACTTATAATAAATCTTATAGGATTTTATATTCATGTTTATGAGTCAGTTGTCAAGAGTCAAGATTAATATGTGTTTTATTGTGTTGTGACGTCATTGTTCGTCCTGTTTATTCATGTGTTTCTTTATTCCCTTGCCCAGGCCATCAATGCGCACCTTTTGGCGATTGGAGCCAAGGAGCCCGAAAGCAATCCGATCCAGGCGCTGCAGAAAGAATCCGAGATTCGATGGTAAAATGATATTTTACATTACACCTCTCGGGGGGTTATGATCATTGAATCATGTCGGATTTTGTTGGTTTTATGTCTTGTTTTTTTTTTCGAAAGGGATGCTTTGTGCAGTAATCTGATGATCAGACAAAGGGACGGGGGATGGACGATTTGGCCTGGAGAGCTAAGCCCTGGGAATGGATATTTGATGAGCAAACATGGTGAACTAAGCCAAACACAAGGGTACTACCCTAGGAAAAGTGGAATTCCAAACCGTGATTTTCCATTTTTGCGGAGACATTTTCAAGGTGGAACAGTCACATTGTCAAGTAATTTTGGTTGTGGTTTTACTGATCCATGATGTTCCTGGCATTGCTGATTTTTTGTCGATGGGGATGGGTTGAATTGGGACCACCCAAGAGTTATAGGAATGGCCTACCTACTGGTACCCAAAAAAGAAAGCACGGGAAGGCCTCCGAATCCAGGGTACCATATTTCCGGGGGATGAACCGGATGAAGCCTTACTTTCAAAATTCATAATAACTGGTGTGTGGTTTGGGAATAATTTCCATATATTCCATAGTTTTTCCATATTATTGGGAATCATCATCCCAACTGACGAGCATATTTTTCAGAGGGGTTGGCCAACCACCAACCAGATAACTAATTATGTTGAAAACCAAGGTACCAAGGTATTCAGTAAAACTGGTCCCAAGGAAGTTGCCCCGCTGGTAATTTCACAGTCTGCGAGCTGGAAACTCATCATTAAACTAATCACTAAATCATGGAACGAAATTGAGAAATGGTGCATATTGATGCATATTTATCATGGCCCATCTCTAGCAAAACTCCTCAGTTACTCTTTAGCAAAACTGGAGGGTATAATTCCCATTCATATCCCTCATCCCTTCCTGACTGTTGGTTCTCTATGAATCACGCCAGGAAGCTCCGGCGGCTTGATTGCAACTCTTGCGTGGTTATGAGATGTTATCAACTATAGTCGGGTGGATGATGATGATGATGATCATCATCATCATCATCATCACCATGGTTTTAACCATGGTTTTAACCATTTGTAACCTCAACATCCCCAAATCGTTTACGAGGTGGAGTGATCCTCCACTTCCACCATGGCACCACGTCGCGAGGATGGGGATCTCTGGGAGTTCCTGGATGAATCGCCGCCAAAGGAGAACCTGGCGATGTTTCCGGAGGTTCCAGGCAGGGCAGTGAGTCATGCTGCGATCTGCCGTGATTTTTTGCATTGGTTTGGGCTTGATGCACACACACAAAAAAATGGCTGGTGGTTTAAAAGTATATATAGTTTGCTAAGAAAACATGTGAACCATTGAAATGGCATGAAATTGGATGATCTCCCCAAGGACTAACAATGGTCAGAGGGTTTTTTTCACCACAGAGCAAATGTGGTGTTCAATCGTGAGGTTCAATGATTTAAGACTTATATAGTGGGATCTTGCTTTTGGCTCAATGACTCGAAGATCTCGGGGTACTTTTGACCCTGTGCGGCCTTCCCACTAAGCTGAGTTGAGGGAATCATGGCTGGTAGACCGGAGTTCCTGTGGTATCTGGGATCCATGCCTCTTTGTGGCCCACCTTTTCTGCGTTGCATAACGCCATATAACGCCTTAACTCATGCCCAAAACAAGCCAGAATGAGTAGTAGCCTCCACCAAGAAGCAAATTGATCCGGAATGTTGGCAAATCCAGGGCTCAACTGAGGATGGATTGATGTTGATGATGCTGACAGCGTTCAAAATCTCAACGTGCAAACGCTGTGGTTGTTTCTTACGTTGAATCCACACGGGAAATGACCTCCACGTGCTGTTCCGTCGGCTAAGCACTGCAGGTTCCCTTGAAATTCCACGGATCCATTCTGTGTCTGGGCAAAAGGTGGAAGCGGGAAGGCTGCTGTGCAGAATGGGCCCAAGGTATATGGATGTATATGGTATATCATGTATATCTTTAGTGCGCTTGCGTTTCCCAATCACTGGCAGGCAACCCAAAAACACCCTGATTGATGTGAGATGGAGATGGAGAGAGATTTGGGTATGCGTCAAGAATGGAGCGCCCCCCTGCGGGACTCCCTACCCAAATCAATCCTGCTGGTTTCAGTCCCTACTCTTGAACTCAACATGTTTTCTGTCTCAGGTAGCTGGCTCAACTCACGATTTCAAAGGTTACATATATGAGTGTTCCTAATATGCGGTTACCCCCAAATCATCCATAAGCCATCCATTATGCGGTACCCCCATTTACGGAAACCTCCATATCAGTATGCATATAAATTCTACGTTGTTTTGAAAGTTCATCCAACTATCCATCAGCCAGGATAGAGTGCTTTAACATCACAAGTGCCCTCCAGTACTGTACACACAAAGAGTGGAACATGGAGGATTTTGAATTTGGAATGAGTATAGTCTAATATTCCCCGAAAGGATGGAAAAGATTGGGACAGTAAAATCCCACATCCCACTGGTAATCATTACTTTTCGATCTTTTTGGGGATAGCGGGAGGCAAATCGCTCCATTCAAGGAATCCTCTGTGGCAGATTCTGAGAGGATGATGAGGTCGACCATTGTGACGTTGCGTCGTATGCAATCCCTTGTTGGGCGGCTCACAGTCAGCCACCTGCAGATGCTCTCATGCACTGATATCATCTGATATCTACATTATCAAATGAATAGCTTGCCAGAACCCCTTCCATACCGAAAACATCTATTTCACCTGGTTGCCACCTCCAAGTTTCACCAGGAAACTCCAAGTTTCAGCAGGCGTTGGTTTTTTGGTGCTTTGAAATATTGCTTGCTATCAAGTGTTATTGTAGCCCTATTGGATCCTAGCCATGGGAGGATTCAGCGAACCCTTGGACTTGTGCTTTTTTTGGGGGCAGAGGGTTTTTGGCGCATTTTTCAGGTGTGGCTTCATTTTGATTGGTCACCCCCACATTTCATCAATAATGTATATTTTATGTATATAATATTATATTATATTATTATATTATATATATATATATAATATACATGTTATGTAACCACTATTGTTCTTCAGGTCACCCATTTTCGTTGCTTACCCCGCATCCATGGAAATTTTCCTCTTCCGCAGGTGGGCCTCCCGAAGAAGGTCTTCCACTTCTTCCGTGGTCAGCGACCACGAGGAGCACAGTGCCGCAGCCGAGTTGAGCCGCTGGGCCCATCTTGGCGTCTTTTGGGTGTTGGGATGGTGGAAAACACCACCATTTTTGATGGTTTTTAACACGTGTTATGGCTTTTAAGCATCAAAACACCAACATGTTGATGGTTCTTTAGAGTTTTTAATCATCACTTAGCCATGAAAACATATCAAGCCGGGCCATAAACCTGATGGATTGTGCTCCACTTTCAGCTAAGGTCAAGAGTTGGAGCTCGTTCGTGCAAAATGGGCAGCGCACAGCTGGCTGGGGACTACAGCAGACCGCGGCACCAAAAAACACGGGGATTTTTGTCCCACGTAACAGTCGGGTAAGTTGTGCATGTGCTCTAAACTTGGGTCAGGTGGTTGTAAATGAGTCACTTGAAGATCTTGAAAGGATTTGAGTTCCAGCCCATCCCCGTTTGTGAAAATCACGCTTAAAATCCAGCAGCGTTGACATGCAGCTCCCTTGGTAGTAAAGCCATGTATGGCCCATGTATGGCCCATGGATCAACCACGCCCGAGGTGTCGTTCAGGCCTCGCAGCAGAGTTGCTGTCTGAGAGCCCTGTTTTTGGCTGCCCTGCAGGACTCTGGATGCCTCACCCAGACACCAAAAATCAACAGAAAAGTGGATTAATCTGGATGAATTTGATCATGACCTCAATGTGATGCCACAAGATGGTTAGTAACGGTACTTCTCCTGATAATGGCCTTAGTTCAGCTATTTTGAGGTTAGTGATTCAGCCATCAATAAATGTAGCAAGCAAACTCCAGGATTCCGATATACCAAGATAAACCTCCAATGGTTCTTACGCCCCAATTTCTGGCAAAATCCAGCAATATCCAGCATGTTTTCTTGTTTAGTGTTACAGCGAGATCCAAATCGGGTTTTGGGTGGGTGTTCATATGGTTCATGATTTCTTGGAAAGAGGTCAGAAAGGTTTAAGCTTTCACAGCTGTTCTCTATTGATGGGGGCCTCTCATCTTGCGTTTATGTTGCGTCTTGGGAGTGAGGTGAGCTTTGATCCAGAGGGTGAAAGAATATGGAAGAGTCATCATGAAATCATTCCCAAGTGACTTCCCATAGTTCACTATGAAACTGGGATATTTATATCTATAAATGGTTTATTAATAACCATCATTATACATCATTATACTATATAATAGTGAATTATAAACCATTAATAGTGGTATAAACCATTTAAATCCATTTAAGCCATTAAGTATAATCCACTATATCATTATACCATTATAAACCATGATTAATAGTGAATTATAAACCATCAACAACCATCATGAAACTAGCAACGTCCGTTGAAGATGTCAGGACCTGACGCGTTGGTGAACGTCGTGTTGCAGATGGCCGCAGCTTGGCGACCCGAGATTTAACGGCAATCCGTGGGAATTCATCCGCAAAATCCTTAGAGAAATATGATATGACTATTATGATATGATATATATATATATATATATATTATGATTATATATATATATCATATATCTTATATGTATTTATTTATATTAGTTGTTTATTTATCTATTCACTTATCTATTTATTGATTTATCTAGTTATCTATCTATGCGTTTTTTTATTTACGCAATTATACAGTACGTGTTTATTATGTACCAACGTTGGAAACAATCCCACCAAATTATGTGATTTTATCTATAGATTGGGTTTATCGAAAATGGTGGATGCCCCAATTTATGGCCGTTCTATTTGAACAGACCATATGAAACATGGATATATTTTGGGTCGCTCTATTTTCAGAAAAAAAAAGCTAATGACATTAGATTGATGCAGCTTCTTTGGCTGATGAAAGTTCTTCATTGGCAAAATTTCCCATGTTTGTTCTTTTCCATTAGAATCATTTGACCTTATGCATCAGTGCATTGTAAACTCCAAGTTCAGGGTTTGGAGTTTGCTAACCGATTTTTATCAAAAACTGTTTGATTTTTTTTACAGTACCTATGTCTTATCTATGGCACCTGGCAGCTGACTCCTGAGTTTCCAGGTGGAGCTTCAGCGAAACACGAAAAGAATCACCTGAAGTTCAAACTTTGAATCCTGGGGAGAGTTTGTTGATAGCCCTTCTACCCAGACTTTTTTGGACATATCCAGGGATAAAGCCTGAATCCTAGATTCAACTTGATGTTCAACCTCGCTGTCATCCAAAAAAGAAGGCCGTTTTTTTATGGTCAAAATCTTCCCACAGTACGGGTCAGCAGATGGTCATGTTGTTTTTTCCAGAACATATACGCCATGGTATAGATGACCCATTTATAGATGGTTTACCATGGTTTACGTATAAAAAAATGTGATTTTCCATGGGAAACTGTTAGTCATAACCAGATGCTACGAGTCAGCCCAGCACGACCTGCATGACCTGCATGACCTGGAGTTGCTCCGCAGCCGCGATAGCACCATTGCGCAGCTACCACCTTAGAGCCACCAGAAAACGAATCCATCTGGGCTCCAGTTTGAGGCTTGCCGTGGGATGGGTGTGGGAAGTCTACCACATCCCTGAGATTCAGAAGTGTTTTTTTTGGGTCTCCCCGAGTCGGACTGGGTCAGTTTCTTTGAACTTCATGAATATTGAAACGGATTTCTACCTACATCTACTGACTGAGAAGATCTCAGATCTCGATCGGCCGTCCCTTCCTTCGGCTCTTTGCCTTGGCGCCAGGATGACAGATGCCGTGGAATGGGCCACCATGAAGGCGTCGCAAGGGATCATCAGCGGGGAGATCAACCAGCACTGGCTCTTCTGCATTCCAATCCAGGTGGGCCCCGCCACAGACCACGCCAGGAATCTACGGCACTGGTTTGCGCTGATTATTGCGCCTTGGAAGAAATGTGGATGATTTGGATCACCCCCAGGTCATCATTGAGCGGATGATAAATTTAAGGATGATCCAAAGGTGAGACCTTTTTGAGAGCTAATCATGCCTGGACCATGGCAAGTCTTGACATGTTTCGTTGGTGGAAGTCACCTAGCCTTGTTTGTATTTGTCATAGGCACCACCGCCTAAGTTTTGTGGATCTTTTGGGTACCCGTAGCCCCCTAACCACACGACCCTGGACAAGACTCACAGCAGGCTGCCATTTTCGTATAATCTTTGCTACAGGCCTTAATGTTAACCAAGCTTCATGAAAACCTTGGGTTTGTTTATGCTGGTTTATTTTCCCAATGGGAAATCCACTATCCGGGGAATCTATATTTTTTTTGGAGGGCGGATGGTCCTTAAGCAAATCCAAGAAGCTCCACTGCTTGCCACTGAGATGTTGCAAGTGGCGGAGATTGTCGGACAGCTTGTCCTGAACACGGCCTGGGGGCTTAATGGAGGGATGGGATGCGTCGACTAAAAAAAAATAGTTATGGATTGGATCATTTCCCCATTCCCTACGTTTAGCACCAGTAAGTTTTGTTTAAGAGTTATAAGTTATTACCCGAAGTCCAATCTTTGGATTTAAACTTATTATTAAGCTCTGTCTGTGAGCTGCCCCTTGGCTTGCTATTGGCTTGCATTGTCCACATTGTACTTCGGGGCTTCAAGCAACTTCACCTTTGTAAGATAGATACTGTAGGGAACAACAACAAACATGTTATCGCTATTTCTTCCTCGGAGAAACTTGCCCCGCCAGTGCCCAAAGCAATCCCAGAGTATTTCCAAAGTATTCCCAAAGCAATCCCAGGCTTTATTGACTGCTTTGTGGATGGCAGTTACAGCACTTATTGGTCTTTATGCATGGTATCAAGACATGCAGCTCGGTCCGAACTCGGTCGTCGCACATCTCTCAGAGTTTGCAGTTGTGACACACCTGTCTTGGTGGTTTATCGTTTTATGATGACATGTGGTATGCTGTTCATATGTGTGCGTATGCTGTTCCATGCCTATTATTATATGATGTATGGGATCATGGGTTTGTCTCCAAATATGATCTCAAAATCAAATGGTTCGAGAGAACATCAGATGGTTTTTGTCAATGCGTTCCACAAACATGGAATTTTGGGTATGCCGGTATGCCGTATGTTCAGACACATCTCACAGACACATCTCACATAATAATGTATGGGATGGGGCTGCCACTGCCAGGAACATTACATATATCTGCTTGTGGGGCATTGTCTCAGTGGGCTTGGGAGTTATGGCCATTATCTCCGACCTGATTCCAGTCATTACTGGTGTACTTACCTTTGACGTATTTGGTTTGCTGGTGATGATCAGTGTGCCCTTGGTCTATTTCTTAGCCGGCGCCTTTGCTTGGCACCTCTACAACGATTACCGGGAGGACCATGGGAAGAAAGCCGCGCAATTCGACCCCTTCAAGCACCTTGGCGTAGACATGCGTAGACGAGATTTGAAAGTGACAGGTATCTTCTTTAAATGGGGATCAATTGATGCCATACCAGCAAGATGACCACTCCTGTACCAGGTACAGTATTTTTTCTCATAAATAGTTTCAATCGGAGCAGGATTCTGATCGCCAAAGTTGACTATATACATTTATCTGGGTAAATTATAACGACCTCACTGCGACCTCACTGGAATCATGGTTAGTAAGGGAAATCATCCCCAAATGGCCTTAATTCAGGTTAGTGAATTATTATAATTTACCCAGATTTATAGGATATTTTATGAATTAATGCTTTCCATTAAATCGTGTGATTTTCTCAATGAGTGACTCGGAGCCTGAGGGTCACCATGGGTCACCCCATCAACCCCCACGCAGAGTCAACGACCTCGACCCGTGACTGGAACGGTGAAAAACACTGTGAGTCACCCACCCATTACAACTCCGTGAAAACAAAAAGGATCAAAAACGGATATACATGATATACGGCACCTACACATCCTACAACTACAACATATCACATACTAAGTTACTATATATATATATATATATATACACACACATCAAAAACATATATATATATATATATATATCACTAATCACTAACATCAGTTTCGACAATTGTTGAAATATGTTGTTTTGCTGTGAAGCTATGGTCATACCTCCCCCCGGTACCATTGTTGAGGCAATACGCGGCCAAGTACGACCCCAAGATCCCTGGCGCCGACGTGGACCGCGCCTTAGACGAAGCCGCAGGGCGCCTCTTCGACTCCCACAGCCCAGGTGCCTTCGGCGCCAAGGGCTACAGCGGCTTCGGCAGCTACGGCGCGGCCAGCGAGCCGGAGCTGTTCGGCCGCCAAAGGCGTGAAGGGATCTGTTGCTGAGGTCTTTGCGGATGACTGCTTATGGATGTGTAGAAATATGATGAAATATGTAGAATGATGAATAATGTAGAAGCCTGAGGCTATGCAAGAGTTCATGTATATAGATTCACTGGAGATGAAGATTGTTTTTCTTGTTTCGTTAATGGTGGTGATGAGAATACAATTGTTGTTTTGCCGCATTTTCTCGGCATTCATATTGTTTGAGACCAATGGTCTCAGAATGTGTCATAGCTTCTGCATTGAAGTTCACTCTCAGAGACTTCGGGCATATTGGCGAGGAAAAAAGGTCACAACTTGCTGGATGTCGACTGCTTGTAAGTGTTCGCAACGAACTTTAACGTGTGAGGCTCAAGGTGTTTGTTTTTATGATTTTTATGTGGCTAAGAGGTCGGCATTCATTTGCCAGGTTCCACAGACAATCAAAAACAGGCTGAAAGATAACAGCGTTTTCACCTCAAAGGTTGTATAGCCATTTTTTTTTCACGACCCAAACCCATATTTTTGATTTTGATTGACTTTCCATTTCTGTTTGACACGATCCCGGCGACGATGATATTTGGGATAAAGTTATGCCACCAGCAAGCTAGGATGTTCCTTCTTTGGGCCTTCAACAGGCATGGGACTAGTCCCAGAACTGGTTCAGAAGGGAAATGTTACAGGAAACTCTTATTGTACATACTGTGGATGGAAGAAATCCTGCACCTCCCCTACAATCCCATTATTTAGAATGTTTCATAGTTGCCAATAGTTACCAACTGGTGCAGGGTTTCTTCCATCCACTGTATGGGATGACCCGCTCACTGCCAGAAAAGTTGGCTGAGGAAGACTTGGCAGCGCTATTGCAGACAGAGAGGCTGCTGATGCTGCTGCGTGAGGGTCGCAACTGGTAGTTTTAGTGTAATGTAAGCAGGATAACAAACCACCAATTAAAGAAAAATTAAGTATGCACTCTGGTAAAATTGGATGGCTGTAAAGTAGTCTGTATTTCTGTATGTCCCATTATTTGCTTTAAGGAGGCATGCGCAAGTGTGAGCATGTCAGAACCTGATTTTGGCTCGTGTCATTGGGGGTGATGCGGGGTCTTGGCCGCAAGATGATGGTTGTGGCTGTTCATGTAGATTCTTATGCACAAATGCATTTGGGTAAGAAAACATGCGTTCTAGTAGCTCCTAAATGGTTGACAAACAAACAATCCCGATGTATTTTTGCGGCTTGTCGGGCATGTAGCAAATGTTTTTTTTTCTGTAGGTGTATAATGTCCCGTCCTAATTCTTTTTTAAACCATAAGCCCATCACCCCACAACATCCAAGCGATTTTCCACTGGCATGCTGGCATGCTGGCAGGAGCATTCTGGTTCCACTGAAGAGTGTTTGCATGCAGCTGGGCACCCTGCAAGCGCGGCGTTTTCTTCATCTGGCTCTAGCACAGCTCAGCCTCCATGTGGACCAGTTCGTGGTGATTTGCCTCCAACCGCTGTGTGTGTGCGTGGTGGGGCTGTGTCTTAAAAGGGTGGATTTAAATGGATTTCTATTTAAGATGATTTAACATGATTCTAACCATCAATTTATGGCAATTTATGAGGAAAAGTATGGGACACTGATGATTGAGCAGTGTATTTTGGGATACCCACGTGTTTGGTTGGAAATGGAAATGGGGTGCATGATGCATTGACATTATTTCACGTTGTTTCCCGCTGTAAAAAGAGATGATGATCCCAAGAAAAAGTTGGAAATGAAACTGCTGACCGGAGTGCGCTGTAAAATGATGAACGATAATCGCCTTCTCTGGAACATATGCAACAGTTTTCAATGCACGAGGGACTGAATTGTGGAGGCAAAGGTTGACACTGCGAGAAATAAAAATGTACTAGTTTCATTTGTTGTTTCATTCTGAAGGTTTGTTTCAGAAGGTCTCCAGCAGAGCTTGGTGCTTCAAGACCTACTTGTTCAGTATGTATGCAGATTTTTCCTATAGAAGTTGTCTTTGGAGAATACGAGGCAGGACATGTTTTGGTCAAGTTGCCGGCAACCTCCTTCTCAGTAGATGGGAACGGTAGCGCGCAATGAATCCTAGTTGAACGCATCAGCCACCAACCATGGGCATCTCTGAAGTGGGGAGCATCTGTGTATATGGGTAACCATGGCTACCTGCCAGGAGTGTGCGAAGCAATTCCATCAAATCTTCGAAGCCCGTTTGTTCGACAGCCTCAGGCATGATGGTTGCGGAAACGTGATGGCTTGAAATTGATGGAATCATAGCTTTGACCCATGGCTAGGCAGACTATGTTCGATAATATGGCAATATGATTGTAAATGATCATAAATGATTCTGATGATGTATGGTCATTAGCATATATTAGCATGTGATGATCTATATAATGTGAAAATAGATGATGATATAAGAAAATAGACGGTGATAAATGGCAATATAAATTTGATAACTCGCGATTAGTATATTACGCTGATTCGTACGTGTTGAGATGTGAAATTGTATCATTATATGCTTATTGTTTGATGGTATAAGATGACATGATAATATGATCAATGTTCAAGATGCTTCTATATAGCAGTACAAGATCTATTGTAATTTAATTGTGCAATTGAGTTTGATCTGGTGGCAGCGTAGCAAGCCCCGTCAAGTTTTACCTTGCAGCTGCAAAGACCAAAGACATCTTAGAGAACTTGGCCACGGGTCCAAATAAAAGCTACTACAAAGCCGGAGATGTCAATTTAAACAGCTAATTCAGGATTTACATATTTACAATTATTTACATACATATGCATTTGGATTCAAGAAATTATCGCCATTTTTGTTGGTCCCTCAACCACTATTGTCGCCGCTTAAATCACCGTATTTGCTCGTCAAACCACCATCTTGAGTTTAAGGATTCACTAAACCAGCATTTTTCTGAAGTCAAGGAGTCAAGACATATATAAATATATATATATATCCTATATTTAAAAAAATACCCTTTTTGGCTCCTAAATTGCGGTTGTGGTATGTTTTCTGCCAGGCAGGTCGATGGACCCACAGCTGCTGGTCAACGTCCACAGAAGCCCCTGGTGCAACGGAGCTATCGAAGGGCCTGGCAGAGCCTTGGCGTGGTGACTGGTGGTGACTTTAGCAACGTTTAATGAGTTGGTTTGCTATGTTTAACTATGCTTAAGTATGGTTTTTGGTGGATATATCATATCTATAATAATGTTAATGGAATTTAAATGGGATGATTATAGGATATACCCTCTGGTAAACTCACATAGCTGGAAATCCCCTTTCAATAGAAGTTTATAGCTGGAAAATCAATCTATAAATATTGGATTTTTCATTGCCACGTTTGCTCATCAAAATAAGGGATATATCATAGGGATAATATAATTTAATATCCAACCAACATGCGGGAAATCATTCGGGTTTAGCATCGTTTAACCCATAACTAGTCTAATTATTCATCAACCAGAATTTATTTCAGCCATGTTGAGTGAAGAGAAATGTGCAGCTTGTTGAACAGTATCAAACAAATAGTACAACCAACAACTACAGGACAAGTTCATCAAGCCCCAGGTGCATAATCTAGCTGCTGTGCCTTGAAGGAACCAATTACATTGAGATGTCGTCCACTTTTGATGGATTGTGCCGATCAATTTCGGGGTTGGCTAAGCATAGCTAAGCTGTTTTTTATGTCCCGTTTAAACATTGTTTTGCTAGCCAACTATTTTTTTGTTTGCTGTTCAGTGTTTTGTTCAAGGTGATGGTTGGGTATATGGGCATGACCCGTGGAAAAGGAAAGGACATAATTTAGCGATTTGTGTCGGTTGCAGTGCGTGGATTGAAATATGCGCAATGTGTTGTATTTGTCTGATGAGTCGCATGATCACGTTTGGTCAAGCTGGTTGAGCTAGAAGGACCCCCACATGTTAAAACATAGTTGGTTTTCGTTGGTTGGTAAAAACGCTAAAACATGCTAAATATGCCATATACCATCTGGTTATTTAACATAGCCATGAAAAATCACCATGTTTATTAGGTAAACAATCTATAAATGGGCCATCTATACCATGGCTATGTTAAATAACCAGAGGGTAAAACAGTAAAACAATCTTTAACCACACTTTGGTTGGTCAAATCCCCAGCTGTACTGAAGGCGAGCGCAGGCTTTGCGCCGGGAGATCCTCAAAAAGGCGTTCCGACTGGCCGAAGATGTGGGATTCGATTCGCAATTCGTGGCCGTTTTAATGCGGGGCCGATGATGATTAACCAATGAAGCAGTGGATGGAATGGGGTAATTAGTTTTCAGGCAAACCAATTGCGATCTTCTGATTGACCTTGTAATGTATGACTTTGTCAAAAATAAATACCTGGTGGATCATACCATGAAAAAGGTGCCAAGGTTCAACCAATAGGTCAACACTGGTGGGAGGTGGAACTACACTACAGGTGATATTTGTTTGACTTTTTTGATGAGGAAAAATGCGTCAAACAGCTCAGTGTTCGGTCTTTTTCATCCCGCGGGGGGGGGTTCAGTGGCAAGTACAACCTCCAGTGATGGCTGTGATGATAATCAGTGATAGTTGGGTGATAAAGGCGGCTGTAAATTGTTGGCTTCTAAAAGGGTTGCAAAAGGCTGCCCATAGTCCATAAAGATCCCAAGCTTGGATCGGCAAGTGGCCACCACCCCAGTGATAGATCGTACTGGTTTGGGGTCTATGTCTATATTATATAATTATATTGTAAGTGCATGTAATTTCCATGCAGCGACCATCGCTGCAAGCTCATCGGTGTGCTGAAACCATGTGTGCGTTTCATTTGCTCCCGTTTGTCAAGGATTCTGTGAATTTGGCATGCATCATGATAGTTTTCGTGTGTGAATATATTTCTGAACAGGCATATGCAGATATAATTAGAATGACATGATATGACATGTGCAATTAATTGTAATTACATATTTGATCATATTTGTAGGTATAGTGTCCATGTATCACTGTAATTACATATACGTATCCATATCATATATATATATATATGTGTGTATGTGTATACTTACTAGTGTTTCATATCTGAATCGCTTTATATGACCAAATGATACCAAATGCATGTACAAATTGGTGCGCTCACAGTAGGTTGATGTGTGTGTGTGTTTTTAATGTGCATAGCCAATATTATAATGACATAGTGTCTAATGTACCCTGTTGAGGCGGGTAGTTTAGAGATGTGTATGCATATAAACGTGTTTGCATTAATATACGTGTATATACAGACAATATGTTTGAAGCTCTCTCTCTCTCTCTCCTTCTTTCTTTCTCTTTCTATATGTATACAATATATATATAGATATAATATATATACATATATACGTATTACATACGCATGCATGTCGACAAAAGTCTGACAATTTGCTGAGCTCCTGGATGACAGTGACGGCAGGTGCAAAAACTTGGAGAGACAGTTCCACTGCAATCTAGCGAGGATGAGCAGTTCAGTTGCTTGGTGTTTTTTTGGAGGTGACCTGTATACACCCAATTCTATGCGATTATTACTTGAGGTCAGGTATAGCATTGACTATATTAATTTAATGAATAGCAGTATACTTACCTATTAATATATATATATATATATTTTTTTAACACCTGTATGTGACTTTGTATAAATGTATATACTTCAATAGGTAAATAGGTGTAACCAATCCTCGAATCCTCCGGAATTGGGCCTGGTCGCTCCCGTGTCAGTGGTTTGGCTGGTGAGTTCTTGATGTTTTCCTTTCTCGTTTGGACCATTTTGAACCATGAACAATACCTCTATCTCATCCCACTACACTGACTACACACTGGCTGGTTATATAATGGGTATCCCGGAATACCCTTTTGTTGTGGGTTGTTGTTTTTTATCCACATTGAAGCTGGCTGTAGATGTTTATCCACTCAGCAACCAAATGAAACCAATCTACCAATCAACCATCATTTATCAATCGTAGCCCCTGATTTTTGAGTTGAGCCCCCAATCAATCCCAATTGATGGTTGAGTCAATCACCAATCACCAGATCGATTTTTGATGCTTCCCCATCACCTCTAAGGTATCGAAAAGGCGCAGAGTGCCATGTTGGAAGCTTGGCTGAGCGCCAGGCTGAAGCAAAGCAGGGGTTGATCATGGACTTCCAATGACTATTGGGAAATACTTGGAAATATTACTTGGAAATATTACTTGGAAATAATCACGATCTTACCGGATATTAATGCTAAGTACTCAATAGCAATTGCAATAGTAATACCCAAAACCAAACAATAAATATAACTGCTGGAAATGTGATTGTAAACTCCTTGGCACCCTGAGTATGAACACAGAGCTTCAAAAATGAGGCACAAAAATGGGCTTGGAGAATGTTTCTGTGATTGAAGTAGTCATTTGTAATGTTGGGTTTCCATTTTAGGGGTGTCGCCTTGACTTGTGGTGGTCTCTGTTCGACTCAAAGACAAATCCTCCAATCCGATTTTTCACCGGTGTTTTCATCAGGGGATACCTTCGAAATGATCAGCCACAAAGATGTTGTTTGCTTCTTCGGGACAGTGATGTGCTAAGCTTTCATGAGGATTTGTTCGTAAGATTTCACAGTTTCTGAATATTTCTGGAATACCACGTTTCCATCAGCATGTGAATCTTGGAGCCTGATTTGTCAACAGCAGACTATAGTGATTAGTGGTGGGCAGGTCCGAAAGGGGATCACGAAAGATTCCAAAAATCAACGGCTGGCAGACGTCGTGTATTTGGATCTCTCAGCAGACCGGCTTGGACAATCTCAAAGTCAGCACCCAAAGTAGCAAAAAGATGCAAAAAGTGCACCAATGTAACCAGAGTATTCAGTAGACTCAGTAGACAGCAATTGGATCTGTTTCTTCGGATGTCTCCTCACTGAATGCCTCCTTTTATTGGGCCCCAGGGACGGCATGGAGTCAATGATCCTGAGGCTTTGGCACAGGCCCTGCCACCTCTTCAGGGTCTGAGTCTGCCGGGTCTAACAGGCCTGCCGTACGCCGGGGGCCCCAGGGGGCCCCAGGGGGCCCCAGCAGTGGAAACTGCCATAGATCTTGCTTGGTGCTTCTGGGCACGTTGCTTAAACAGTCAGAAAAGAGATGCTTATAGTGAAAAAGACGCAAAGGCAATGTAAGGAAACCAGAGTTTGTTTATGTTGTTTTTCATTAGCAAAAACCGTAGGAATCATGGATTTCCCCAGTTCCACCGTTATTTTCCTTTCATGACTTCCTAGTGGAAATAAACCGGCCCCAAATGACTTGGCCAGTGAATTGTGTTTGAGTCAGCATGTTTGAGCTGGCACATATTACTTTAATAAAAATTATTACAAAAGAGTGTGTGTGCACATGTGACTGTTTGGTTTTTGTGCTTCGTTGAAACCTCCGATGTTGCACATGTTGCGCTCAGGAAGGGCACAAGGCCGCCCTAGCGCTTACCGATGGGTCGAACCGATCCTTGGCACCCTAAGCCCTGTAAGCCTTTGTAAAAGTGATGGATGGTAATGGTTGGTGGTTCATAAGCCCAAAACAACCCAAAACATCACTGGGAGTGTGGGAGGCCACCTTTGCACAGGGGTTGTTGAATCCCTCTGATACTAGTAGCCCTGAAGCCCCGAAAATATGCACTTTGGGCCTTTGGGTAGTATTTCTTTTAGTTTGAAGGTTGGCGATTTCTTGGAGTTCTACAAGCCTGGGTGCTGGGACGTGGTTGCGTTTCGTCATTGAGACACAGGCCATTGTGTTTTAGTCTTGGGGTTGTTTTCATCTCACTAGAATTCGGATGGGAGCAGCTAGGCGGCTGCATACAGTAGCTCTCGTTTTTCCCACTGGCTGATTGAACAATAGAAACAAGTAATCCCCGCGTTGAACAGACAAACCATTACGCCCGGCGCCTTATGTTTGGCAACCGGACATCAATTGGGTGACCCGCAGTGCTTCCTTACCGGCAGCAAGTTCGTCTCAGGTCGAGTGAGCCGCCAAAGCATTAGGAATGGCCCTGTTCTCGAAGTAGACTGACAAGGTGGCGCTGATTTTCTAGCCATCTAAATTTTTAGGGCAGAAAAAAACATAAAAAACGCAAGAGAACGATGAAATCTTCAGATTCTGAGCTGTC